CGGCCCCCAACAACTTTGCATATTCTTGCGGAAAGTCCGCGACAATGCGGCCACTGGGCCGCAACTCATCCATAGAAAGACCGCGATAGTTCTCCGAGCGTTCATCTAAAAATTGGCCGAAATTATTCCAAATTTCTGCATGCACCGCAAGAAATCAGCGAGCTATTTTTCCGGTGCCCGCTTGCTCAAAATTCGCATAATCGCCTGCCCCGGCGATTATCTGAGCATCCGTTAGCTACCTCGTCGACTCTTACGAAATTCTGTCACCACGACTAGCAGTCTTCGACTTGCCGCTCCGCGTCAGAGAAAGAAAATTATCTTTGAATGTTACTCATCCACATAATAGCTGATGAAAGCGAGCTCGACAAGTTCTATGAGGAACTTAAAGACGCCTCTATAGGGGAGGTCGACCTATAAATTTATCGGCGGTGACTTCAATGCAAGGATAAGAAAGACGCAAGTTCAAGAAGACGACAGAATTGGGAAGTTTGTTCTGAGAAGTCGAAACGAGAATGGAGACAGACTCGTCAGACTCATCGCAGAGGCTCGATTGTTTTATGAGAACTCCTCTTCTTTTAGAAGAAGGAACATGCCTGTTGACATGGGAGTACCAAATGATACGGCACGTGCGGAATTCGACCAAATACCTACCAATAGGAGATGGAGTTTGGTCGGTGTCGGAGTGGTTCCCGTTCAGCACAAGCTCGAATCACCATTTATTTGGAGCGAAGATCCGTATCAATTGGAGAATGGAGATAAAAATCTTCCACCGCGCGAAGCTCAGGAGAGAGGTGGTGTATGACGAACGCATTCTCGAGAACGCCATAACCAGATACGACTGGAAGGAACGCAATGGTCCAACAGAAGATCCAGGAAAGTTGATCGGAAGACTATGCAGCTGTGCTGGACAAGCAATTCTTACCGTAGAAAGAGGTAGAGCGTTTGATAAACAACACCAAGAAACTTCTACAGAAAAGGAGAGGTTAATACGCAGATCCAAGTGCGCCACGCCTGAAGCAAGTGCTGTCCAAACATTTGTAGAACAGCTGTGCAAGAGGATCTGAAACAAATTCAGTAGATGAAGTTACTCGAGGCAGCACAGAGCAGGAACGGTCTGAAAAGATATCGGAGAGATCTACGCGAGCACGTACTTCTGATACAAGTTCTACTGAGCAAAGACGAAAGACTAGCAAACTCCTGGCGCGAAATAGAGGCGATAACGGAAGATTTCTACAACGAACTCTTTTTGTCCACGACGTCCGTACCAGACCCTGCCATTCTCTTTGAGGAAAACCGGCCAAGGATCCTTCCTTCAGAAGTACGCGCCATAGCGTGCATGGAACCAGGCAGAGCTTTTGGTCCGGATGAATCACCGCCAATTTATTGAGGGCCGGCAATCACAAGCTGCACGCTCTACTGACAATCCATATGAAGATTATCTGGAGAAGAAAGAATACCCAACCAGTGGAAGATCCCGCACTACTCTCCTTCACAAAAAAAGCGAAAAGGAAGACCTCGAGGATTACCGACCGATCATTTGCTAAGTGTGCTTTACAAGGTGTTCACAAAGACCATCATGTCGCGGCACATCCGCCTGAACAAGTCAGATTTCGTAAAGTATTCAGCTGCATCGATCACATCCAAGCCTCTCAAGGGTCTCAAAGATCTGTCGGGAATACCAACTGCCCCTAGTCCTCACCTTTGTCGATTACGAAAACGCTTTCGACAGTGCAAAAATCAACGCCGTTTTGAGAGCTTTGATCGACCAGAGCGTGGACCCCACCTACTTAAGAACAATAGCGGACTGCAATACAGGATGCACCACAACGATACAGCTACTCGACCACCCGCTGCACATCCATATTGGAAAAGCAGTACATCAAGGCGATACCTTGTCGCCAAAGCTGTTCACTGCCTCATTGCCATGGTGCCTGCAGTCATTCAACTGGGATGAGAAGGAGATACGAGTGGATGGACAACACTTTTCGTATCTCCGTTTCGCAGACGATATCGTTTTATTCTCGAAATTCATTAGCGAAGCCGAAGAGATGTTGAACGAGTTGAAGGCAGTGTCCGGGCAAAAACTCGATTTTGAGATTTTGTGCTTATACGGGCCTATTGGCCACGCTGAATCCGAAAATCCACATTGAAAAGCGCGAAAACGGTGAAGAAGAGCTCTAATATAGGAGGGAAATCATCAGGTGGGCGGGGCTTTCCCCAGTGTGATTTCACGCTCGCAGCTCCCGGAGCGATTTTCTCGATTCCGCTAGCCGTTTTAACATCGCTACCGGCCAAGTGCGAATGATTGACTTGAAACCGGAAGCGAGAAGGTCGCTCCGGAAGCCGGGAACGTGATTTCGCAGTGGGGAGGACCCCGCCCACCTGCTCATTTCCCTCCTGAGTTGGAGCCGTTTTTCGCCATTTTCGCGCTTTACAATGTGCATTTTCGGATTCAGCGTAGCGAATAGGCCCAAGTAAGCACAAAATCTCAAAATCGAGTTTTTGCCCGGACAATGCCTTTAAAGGCAGTGTCCGGGCAGAAAGTCGATTTTGAGATTTTGTGCTTACCCGGGTCTACTCACTACACTGAATCCGAAAAACCATATTGGAAAGCACAAAAACGGCAAAGAAGGGCTCTAACGCAGGAAGGAAATCGAAAGTGGGCGGGGTCTTCCGCACTGTGAATTTCGCAGTCCCAGCTTCTGGAGCGATCTTCCCAATTCCTCTAGCGCCCTGAGATCCTCAACCGGCCAGGTGCAAATGCATGACTTGACATCGGAACCGAGATCGCTCTGGAAGCTGGGAGCGTGAATTCACAGTGGGGAGGACCCCGCCCACCTGTTGATTTCCCTCCCGTGTTAGAGCCGTTTTTCGCCGTTTTCGCGCTCTCCAATGTGCATTTTCGGATTCAGCGTAGCGAATAGGCCCAGGTAAGCAAAAAATCTCAAGATCGACTTTTTGCCCGGACACTGCCTTTAAATGAAAGCCGGAGAAGGATAGGGCTCAGAATCAATCGGTCGAAGCGCAGTTCTTAAGAAACACCTTGTGCAGTGAAGGCCAATTACACTTGGATCAATCACCGGTAGAAGAAACTACATCTTAGGTTTACCCAGAGCGCACCATCAACATGAACAACGACAATTCGAACTTAGCAGAAGACAGAGAGCGGCATGGGCAGCATTCGGACCACTAAAGGCTACAGATCATCTTGCTAACCGGACCTACGTGCCCCTTTTTGATGTCACAGTTCTTCCACTCTGTGTTACGCAACCGGAAAGTGGGTGCTTCAGCAATTACGAAGGCGCTACAAACAGCACACAAAGCGCTCGAGAGGAAGCTTCTGAAGATAACGAAGTTCAAACAGTAAGATTTGAGATTCGGATCTCTGACCTGAGGCAACTTTCGCGTCTACAAAATCCATCAGAGTACGTATCGAAGAACAGGTACAGATGGGCCGGACATGATGAGAAGAGAAGACGACGACAGATGGACAAAATCATTCCAATGGATTCCTAGAGCGAAACGTCTACGTGGTAGCCCACCGTAGAGATGGTGCGACAAATTTGTTGACCGCGTAAACAGCTGCGTCAGCAGTTGGAACCTGATTCAGGATCAGCAATCGCAGACACGTACCAAGAGTCATGGATGACCATTGACAGAAACCGCAACGAATGGTCAAAAGTTGGAGGCCGCACGACAAGTGAGGACGGACCATCCACGTAATCTAATCTTAGTAATCTGATAATCTGGTAGCCGTCCAAGGCCGGCAAACTCAGCAAGTGGTCACCCTACGTAGCTATTACGCCAGAAAACTTCTGATATTTTAGAAGCTTAGCATAGATCTAAACTTGAGCCGTTGAAGTGGTGATCTTTATTAAAAGCGCCCCTCTTGAGCGTCTCCCCGACTTTTGCACCTGAAATTCGCGGACGCAGCCAGTGCCGATCACCGAGAAGATTGTGAATGTCAGAAGCGGGGGACGGGAACCGCTGAAGACTTTTGTGTTGGATCCCGTTGCTGTATATATCTACACCTACGCCCATCCAAAAATATTCTTTCGCAGGCATGACTTGCAGATAAACATGTTTATCCTTTTCAACAACTGTACACAATCATAATTAGTCGTTCAAAATGAGATTTCAGCATAATATGAATAAACTTGCACAACATGCACGTAACAAGAAAATCAACAAAAGTCGGGTAATATTGACAGTGATATAGAGTATTTTACCTCATTTTGCTCATATAAAGAAAATATGTGTGATGACTACTTGTTCGCATCCCGAAAAAATTATGCAAACAAGAAGTTCGGGAAATGCCGAACAGCTCTGCTATCGTCTGATAGCGAGAGTTTTTTTTTCAGGGAGGGGGGACTTTTCCATACAGGGCGTGTGGCGTTAAAGGTAGTGTCCGGGCAAAAACTCGATTTTGAGATTTTGTGCTTATACGGGCCTATTCGCCATGCTGAATCCGAAAATCCACATTGGAAAGCGCGAAAACGGCGAAAAAGGGTGCTAACACAGGAGGGAAATCAGCAGGTGGGCGGGGCTTTCCTCAGTGCGACTTCACGCTCCCGGCTCCCGGAGCGATTTTCTCGATTCCGCTAGCCGTCCTAACATCGCTACCGGTCAAGTGCGAATGATTGACTTGAAACCGGAAGCGAGAAGGTCGCTCCGGAAGCCGGGAACGTGAATTCGCAGTGGGGAGGGCCCCGCCCACCTGCTCATTTCCCTCCTGTGTTAGAGCCGTTTTTCGCCATTTTCGCGCTCTACAATGTGCATTTTCGGATTCAGCGTAGCGAATAGGCCCAAGTAAGCACAAATCTCAAAATCGAGTTTTTGCCCGGACACTGCCTTTAACCACTTCCCGAAATTTTTACGATGTTACGAATTTCTAGCGGACCTATAACCGAGTGCTGCGGCTGGCACGCTCCCAAGAAAATTCTTCTAGGCTGCTTTGTTAACTCGAAAAATCCAGTTATTTCCGAGTGAAAACTGGTCACCCGCACTTTTTCAGCTTATGTGTGAGCACCTTAAAATTCCGCGACCATTCTTCATATGGAAGAGGTTAACAGTGCAGACCAAATCACTATCAAAATCTACACAAATATAACATCAGTCTATGCCTAAAGCTAAGTCTTTTTCTCTACACTTCCTCAATATTCCGAAGGATCGAGTTTTCTAGGTTTTTGTACATAATTCTCAGCAGGTCCTTTGCGAAGCTGTAGTCGTTTCGGGTAGGGCTCGCCGAAAAGTGAATCATCGAGGTCGACCTAGAGAGGACACAAACGTAGAAGATACAATGACTATTTGAGAACTAACCTCAAATTTGAATTCATCATCTGGTATGATTCGCCGCCCATCTTTGATGGCCATCTCCTTCGCTAACGCGACGAGACTCTACGACAAACAAATCTCGTAAATTTATCAGCATGAAAAACTTCAAAAAAACTTACTTGAAAGGTGCGTGGTTCATAAATTGCCAGCTGTGAAAGCACGATGTTATCGAGTAGTATACGCGCCTTATCCAACATGTTGCGGAAGTGCTTGTATTCGAAGTGATGCTCAGCAAGTGCAGCATTCAATCGTTCTTCGGCATACTAAAATCAACAACATATCGGCAAATATGGGAGACAAATACGGGTCAAAAAATCAAATAGTTCACAAACGAAATGATGTATCACTCACAAATCTTTCGAGTTTCTTTTCATCTTGCCGCTGCATGTCGAGATAGCAGAAAAGCTTGTTCAGCTTCATGTTTCCAGCTTTCCAAGTTGTTCGAGCAACACCGTACTGCCACTAAAACAAGTTATACTTAGCCAAGTTTTGTTTTTTCAGCCAACACAAAGGTTCGGTGCCCGAATTTTTCAAACTACACAAAAGCCCTCCTTAAGGACTTTCCTACTCCTAATCGCGTATGGTGATAAAAAACATCTTGGGATACGGGTAAGGCATGAACAGGAGATAAATTGTAATGCGACGAAACCGCTATAGACCATCTTTGAACGCAATAAATTACTGCTGTGCGTCTAAACTAGTGGTCTTTGGAAGCGAGCGCTTTCGATTCATCAAGATTCATGAAGTATACTCTTCCTAATGGCAAAAAAAAATACAACTGAGAAAAGACTGACAGCTGTAAAACGATTTTGTCGTTCACGAACAAGCCATCTATCAGGACTTGGAATACTTTGGAAAGGGTGATAATTGCTGTTGATGATCCTTCGTAACCCTAGCGGTATCGTTAACCGCATACCTGTAAAATCATATTGAAGCGAAGCAAAAACCGAAAGTAGATAACGATTTCCCGGGATCAGAGAATGTTTGAAAAAGCATAGGTAAAGCTATACCTCTATGAGATACCGAGATCTCAAATCCGTTGTAAATTATTCTGGAGCAGAAACAGAAGAAAACAACATTTCATACTTTACCCAGTAAGATGTGAAGACATACAAGGTCACAACAGTTTTTACGGAAATGTTCAGGAAAAATTCACGAATCTGATCGTTTTGTTGCTCATAGTAATCTCCGGAAGTGAAAAGCTGTCTCATTTCCTGGCCAAAACCATTTGATTCTGCTCGAAGTGCTCATAAAATAATGTGCCCCAATCACTGTGACATGGCAATCGTCCAAAACTCGTTACCGTCTCGGGATGCCTTTTCCAGGCGAGACCGAGTAATCCCAAGATGAGCATCGCAGCGAATCGATACTCATTTGGACGACCGCCAACGATAATAAAATCGGGTTTTTTCCTGCAATGTGCCCACACAATTCGTTCGTCGTGGTGTCGATTCGTCGTCGACGCCGTCGCGTTCGAATCGATCATCTCGGAATCGATCAATTCCAGGGGCGTATCGATTTGTGCTAGTTGTCCAGGCGTCTTTCGGCTGTGCACCGATCGCCGACGTTTGCAGCATAATGGATGTTCGTTTCGTTGTTGTTTGGTCAACTATGTCTATTGTTTACGTATGTATGCAACGGACGTTGCGGAATTTGCGTTATTTTCATCCCTTTCAGTCTCTTTGATCAGTTTTTGTTTGCCCTGATGGATTTGTGTAGCAACTTTGTTCTGTTTTTCCCTAAGTTCTCTACAAATCTTTCATTTACACACTTCTTCTTGGAGTCACAAGTCACAACATTTTGATCGTCACGATCTGTATGGCTCTTAAAATCAATAAATTCACCACTTATGCTGCCGGCATTATTCTCCGAAAAGCATTTTTTATTTTTATGTCACAGTATCCTCTTTCGCGTCGACATGTCGAACTTCAACACAACCGCTTGAAGCTTCCTAATACCTAATTACCCCAAAAGTCATTCTTGATTTGACGATAGTTCCTTTCATGCTGCCATACCTTAAATAGTGCAATAGTGTCGTAATTTTTTTTTTTTTGCGCTGCAACATTTTTTTCAAAAGTAAGACCCAAGTAGTCAAAAGTCCTATTGTCTATTAAACATTATAAAAGTTTATCATAAAATCTAGAAACTGTTTGGTTGTCAACAGCGCTTTCCATCTTCCTAATATTTCCTGGCTAATGGGACATTACATTATACATAATTTGTGTAGTCTGCTTCTGTTGCTTATTGAATTAGAACTTCCATTCTGCAGTCAAACTTCTACATAAATTTGTCTCTATCGTTTCACACAATCTGGTGCTCTCATATTCTCCGTGTCTTCAAAGGACGTAGAGTAAGCCAGAGAAATCACGACAGTGTTGGTTGATCACGTATGCTCCTAATGAATATTCAATTGAGCTGTTCAATTCAAATCGCAATGCTTGCCGAACTTTCCAATATGCTTTTGGTTTCAGTTCTTGAGCTTTCTACATTTTTTGGAAGGCTACTACACTATTTTGTCACATTTACCATAGCTCTTTTACAAAATTAATTATCCCATCACCTTGTCCTTCTCATTTCTATGCTATATCGAAGAATCTGTGCCTTTGTTTTGAGAGGGGTGCAACGCTCAACTTTTTTTTCTGGATCAAGCACTTTCACATTTTTTTGGTATACTTGAGAGCACAAAGAACAGCATAAATCTATCCGCCCACTCAACTATTCGCGAGTTTTGTTGCACTGGTTGGGATTTTCACTAGTTTATTTTTAGCATAAGCTCTGCTCTGAAATGGTTTTGACACCACTACAATAATCGAATGTTCAATCCGCAAGCTGCTCGCAGGCCTCCCGGCAGCATGCAGCCCACTGGCGCTCCTGTTCAAAGTCAAAGTGACATAAATGCCAAGGAAAAGTGAGTTTCATAAACATTAGTGGATATCTATAATTTTCTATTTTATCAGCATCTATTCATTGTTGTTTTTAACCTTCAGTCCTCTGTCTCGTTACAAATGTCATTGTTCGTCCCATTCTCATTTCTGTTTCAGCTTTTGCAGTTTCATTCATGTCAGGGTTTTATGACTTTGGTCCATTTATGAATAACAAAAACTTTTCATCATGTCTGGCCAGCTCTACAAAAAATCCTTTTCATCATAGTTTGATATTGGAACTTCCACTATTTTTATACTCATTCGAACGAAAAAATGATACTCAGGCTTGCTGCTTACGTGTACGAATATCTGGTCATTTCTGGAGCGACGAAAACCGCTGAAGTTTTCAAAGAAGAGGTTTTAAGCGTAAGTTCTTTCTGTCTCTCTCGTCTTCGAAATTTCGCTTACATAACATATTGTATACAGAATGTTCCAAATGGAGCTATCAAGCCTAGCGAAGTCGGTCCAGGTTTTCTACAAAACTGGTGGATGTGAGTGCTTACTTTTCCCATTCCTTTTTATCTTTATTCCGATATTCACATAATTGTATGAACTCCATTTGCTTCTTGATTACCTCATCTGAATTGTATAGGTTGTTCTGGGATTTATACTGTGCAGCTCCTGAGAGGAGAGATGGACCCGACGGTCAATCAACGCAGGAAGCTAAAGCCTTTCACGATTTCGTATGTTATCTTATTGCCAAGCAGGATTCTGTATACCAGTGTTGAATTTGCAGGGATTTGTTCCTGGCGGCTTTGGGCCACCCGGTCCGATGATGAATGGCATGCATGGTCCTGGGGTAAGTTTTTTTGTGGTTTCATGGCTCCAGAGTTTTGGTACGATTATACTTTTTCTTTAATCACACTTGATTACAAAAATTTCTCCTTTTTAAATGATAATCACATTTGTAAATGTGTTTTGGAACTATACCTGCCCACTTCCTTGCTGTGTGGTCAAGAGAGCTACTAGGTTTTTTAAGGTCTGTTACAGTAACAGGTATGCCACGATATCGGGCAGAAATACGCTTAGCAATGGTCAGTTGGGAAGAATTTAGATTTCCTGGTGTTGATCTATACATCTCAATACAGCTGTGAATAGCTATTTAGTAATCTTACGGACCTTTTTGTGGACTTTTGTGCCATGCGCCATGGTGGTATATCTGAGGATTATGACATCTACCCAAAAACGGTCCTAACCGTGGCATGCTTTCTTTCACTGTATATATAGAATCACAATTATTGATGTTTCGGTCGGTTGATATCTTTGGTTATATAAATTTAATCTTTCTACGAATTTTTCAATCCGAACGTCCTCCAAGACATTCATCATCTAGCTAATCTCGAGAACATCAACATATGTTATATTCGTCTCGAATTTATTGGTAGTCTCTTTCTTCCTTGGATTTTGGTTGAATTTCAACAACGTCATCGAGTTAGCAAAGCTACAGCTGAGCTAGTGGAAAATATTGATTTTACATTCGTTTTTTTCTCTCTAGAAATTGAGAATTTGCACTTTGCACTTTTGTACATAAGAATGGTGCACTGGATTTCGCTGGAGCTGGAAGAGACTCTGAAAAAGATTTCCTGATGTTTGTACCGGATCTAGTATGGCTTTTTTTTGGACTGTGCTCGAGAATTTTCGAATTGTTTTTCTAGCAGTTTTTGTGCGCGTCTTGGCGCGGATTTGAGGAGGCGATAGGTTGCATCTCGGGGTAATAGAGGCGCAATGCGACAATGGGCATGGTGAATAGCGGTGAGAGCGCCTGACGACAGAGCCGGGGCATCGCACAAACGTAGAGGCGACGACGAGATGTGAGACGCAGCGCATGGTCAGTTGTGTGTGCGGTGGGCGCCGACATTTCGAGTTCATTGTGGAAAACATGTGGGAGGTGATGAAGGAGGGGGTTTGAGAGTTTTTTGTCCTTTTCAAAATCTCCTCATGCTCGGTTTTGACGCGGTAAATCCGCATTTGACTTGAACGGGTAGCGTGGAATGTTTTGACTGTACGCCAGAGGCATCATCTGGTTGGTTGTTAAAGACAGGTTGGTGAAGTGGGTGTGGAACGCGTTTACTTTTTGCATGTAGTCATGAGGCGGCTGGACATTCCTGATTTTTGAGGTTTCCAGTTCTCCTCAGCTATATGCAGGTAGAGGAGCTGAAGGATGAACGGGGGTAGAAAGTGGGATGCTTGATACAGTTTTGAAGTCTCGCTAGAACAATTCACGTGGGCAGAATCTTTTGCATATATGTCCCAAACTGAGGATCTCGTATCTGAGCGTATGAATGTTTTTTTTAGAGGAATGAAGGTTGATTGATTGATTGTGAAGGTACTATGGTGATTCTGAGTCTTTTCGTTTCCCAATCCAGCGTGAAGCTTTCCTGAGTCAGGATCTATCGAAGCTCCTAGTCTCTATCCTCATAAGAAAAGCATGGGTAGTTGAAGTAATCTTGAGATGAGGTGTATAAAGGGCACGGAACGTTGATTTCAAATCTGTCTTTATCTGTTGCGGCTTTTCAAGCGCGAGCTATGAAGAGAAGAGAAAAGAAAGCAGAATTTTGAGTCCATGACTTGTGTAAAATTGGTCGTTAACATTTCTTAGCGTTCAAATGAGGCAGCGGCGTGTGAATATACACAAATGATCCGACTAAATCAAGCCCTGGCAAAAGTGTGTTTGAATGTGTCTTCTTTATTGGCTGCATTTCTGGACGATAGTGATTATGAGGATTTTAAGAGCAGAAAATTGAATGCGCAGCTAGGTTAAAGTCAGTCGTAACCTCGTCGGATCACTCTGTATATATTCACACGCAGCTGCCTCAACTTGAACGCTAAAAAAGTTGACTGATTTTACACTGATCATGGACTCAAAACTTTGCTTTCAAAAACTTCATGGCTCGCGCTTAAAAACCCGGAACAGGTAAAAACAGAATTTTTGTTCAGTGTTTCATGCCTTTCAAGGCATTGTACATCTCATATTGAAAGACTTATTCAACTGACCATCATCTGTTAGCATAGCGTAAGCGGAAGGGACCTTTTAGAGTTCAAACATCTGCCCTGATTGTGACGTCCTATGGTTCATTTTGAGAGTAGATCTTTGGAAAGATCTGTTTAAATGATCTAAATATTGCGAGACTATGGGTTAACTATCAAATTATTGGTATACGATGTACCATGCCAGCAAGTGTTTATATTCACAATTTTCGCTTTTTGTAGCTGTAGTCCTTACTTTACGAGTCAGAGATTTTGATCAGTCGTTATCTATGACGACTGACTAAAGAACCGCAAATCTCGTTATCCAATCTCATCCGGTGCGCTAACGGTCGCTCGTCCATACAGCGTCTTCGACTTTTTTTTTTCAGCAACACGTAATATAGGTCGCAATTTCAATACTGGCGAATAAGGTCGAGTCGGTCGACGAAAACGTGCACAGCCTTACCAAGTGAATGGAACAGATCTTTCGGGGCGCGAAGAGTTGATTTTCAAGACTTAGCGGCTCATGTCGGGCGCTTACATGATTTTTGCATGATTTGATGCCATATGACGTCACTAGAGAACGCGAACAGATGGTTGTTCTATGAAAGTGCATCGGGTGGTGACGTATGGCTCGGGCGTGTGTGTGTGTTGTTAATAATGGGGACCTGTCCGATGATTGTTTGAGAAGTGTTGCCGTTTCTGCTTGTTTTCTGCTCAAGTGAGCAGATCAAGCAATGAGGAAGTTGTTACTTGTAAATCACCCAACTCTGAATTGCGGCGTAACATAACGTGAGAGCTTGGCAAGAAAAATTGGAAAATCCAAAAAAAATTCGAATTGTGAGATCAGATGAAAAGATTTTAATTGGAGCAGATTCATACAAAATCATCTTGTGTTTGTTAAGTTTTGAGCTTTTGCAAAAGATTCGCTGTTTTGGAACGGTAGCCATCGTATTTTCAATAATTTTCCGTTGCAGTGTTGAATGGTTTGACAGTGAGACTGATAAAATGGAGGTTTTCCACGCTGCATTCAATTTATTTTATCTAGCTTTATGACCATAAACACCTATTTGAGGAGAGAATATATGTAACTTTTATTCACGCAGATCTGACGCTTCCGTACAGATTTCATAATGGCAGTGAAGGTTTTTGTTTGGATTTTTTTGTTGTTTGCAAAATAGATGGTACCAGGGCAATCAATTTTTTGGAGTAAACTAGTTTGAGATCAATTTGATCTGATTTATGTGGTCTTTCGAAAAGTCTAGAACTTACGAACAAAATTATTTTGTCGGGTCGAGATATCGCAGAGAGGTCCCTTTAAATCTTATGAAACATAAATTTGGGTTTTTCTAGTCGTTTGAGTTGTGCAAGGTAGTCTGTTATAGCATCATTTGGTACCGCTTTGACAAAAACTATGCCCTTGTTTCATACATATTTCTTCTTACTGAATCTTGTCAGCTGATAAGGCAACGTATGCCACCTACACAATAGATTAGCAATGTTCTAGTTCCACTTTCGCCTTGGTTACGTGCACTTCTCGTGCCATGTTGTTTTTTCCGCATATATGCGTCATCTTTGTGACTTTCACAGTATGTTGCCGGCTTCAGCGGCACGTAATGTGGTAATCCATAGGGGGACTATTTGAAGTGACGTATAGTTATTGATGAGAGCGTAGACAGCGAACCCCGCCGCTGTCGACAACGACGACGACTCCTATGTAGGCGGTGCGACGAGACCTATTGGTATAGAGAAGCAGAGGAGATTGCAAAGCGGCCGTACCCGCACCCTAGGAGGCGCGGAACAAACACTGGCGTGCGTGTTTTCGAGACTTGCGCACTCGTGCTAGGCCAGCCGGATCCGAAGAAAACAGGAAGGCTTATGCTTCGATGAGGGTACGAAAAGTAATGGGTATGGAGGGAGGTGGTTTGGGTCGAATGCGGCGGAGCAGCAGAGACGCTGTGATGGAGAGAACACGTTCTGGAAATTTTTGTGAAGTCCCTAGCTTTTTTACTACGTAAATCTGAACAATAATAGACACTTTTGCTACACTTAGTGAATAGATCATATTTTTGTTTCAATCGTCAGGGTAACTGAATTTGGATGAGTTTGGTAATGGGAAGGTCAACTCGAATTATCATTTTTAGCGCATCATTTTGTATCTTTTAGGAAACTACGCTTTCTTATTTGAACAGTGGTGAAATTCCAAATATCACTGTGAGATAACTTACAGACCATTTGTTTCATAGTTGGACTTCTACGTCTTTTATAACCTCATTCCTGTCACTCCAAAAATGTTCCACGAAAACTGCATCTTGCCACAATTTAAAGGCACCGTCCACACAAAATGGGGTCGATGAGATTTTGATGCCTAACAGCAATGGGACCCTAACTATATACTTATCCAACTCGCTCTGGCAAAATTTGCTTCCGAAGCGAGAAAATTGCTTTAAAAATCGCTCGGATGATACATTCGCTCTCCACGTTGGCTCCTCCCCTTTGAGTGGGCGTGACGTACGTCCCGCCCATCCGTGCGCCCAACCAATCACCGTATCGCAGAAAACGCTCTACGAGTTCTGAAAACGGGAGTTTTCGCGGATTTTCCGCTTGATATTCGGAATCAGGGGTATGAGAACCAGGAACGGCAGAAACATGGAGGTCGAAATTTTGGGTGGACGATCCTTTAATGGGCTTGCCATGATACCGTAATTCAAAAATCGGTGTTGGTTTGACCCATTAAAGTTTCTGTCCAAACGGGGCTTAATTTTTTGTAGGACGGAGATAGAAACTACACATGAGTGGACTCCTCTTGTTAGATTTTTTGAAATTCCGTAACAACTTGTCAGATTTCACGCATTTCCAGCAAGAAACCAAAATTTCAAAGTGCATTTGGTGGAACATGAATGCTTTTGTGCACAGCTAATAATCCTATCGTTAATTTGAACATACAAAATCAATTATTGGCTTGAATTACCACCGATCGGCTCAACTCTTTTATGTCGGAAAGGGGTTAGTTTGTAGGCGCCGCGCTATGATGGTACGGTGTATGCTTTACGGTAACATATGTAATAAGAAGACTGCTAGAAAAACTGTCGTTTATTGTCATTTTACCGCTTTTGCCTTAAAATTGAGAAGAAGTTGCATCAGGTCTGAAAAAAAAAAAACTAAATTGTTTTGTTTCAGTTCCCTGGAGCCCCTGGAATGGGCATGCCTGGTCCCGAAGGAATGATGCCAGGTGAGCTTTTCGCAACAATTTTCTCTTTTCACGCTTTCCACCTATTCTAGGTCATCCTGGACCAGGCTTCCCAGGACGATTCCCGGGTCGAGGCGGCTGTCCACCCGGAGCCATGCCACCAGCTGGTTTTGGAATGTTCCCCGGTGATCCACGAGCAATGCCTGGCCAACGAATGCCACCGAATGCGGCAATGCGCATGCCACCCGCCTCGTTCGCACCCGCTGGAATGCGACCTGGTGCGCCTGGAGCCCCGCCGGCTCCTCAGGGTACGGAACTGCAGCATGATTTTCATTTCTGATCTAGAATTTGATTTGCTAGGTATGAGATATGGTGGACCTCCGGGAGGTGCGTTCATGGATTCACCCGGTCAAGCGTTCCCTCCAGGCGCGGGTATGATGCCAAATGGAGGAGGTGTGATGTGTTCACAAGCGCCGGTCGGAATGTCCATGTCCTCTCCGGTAATGCCTCCTGCTGGGGCAGCTGATCCGCATGGGTTTATGATGAGCGGCATGCCTTCCAGCTCAACTGCCATGCCGGTAAGTCCCTAGCAAGTTGTCGCGCGGTGTTCTCGAAATATCTCGATTTTTTTCCAGTTCGGTATGGGAGACACATCAGTAACTATGGGCAACGGTATGGGGCCGACACCCATGGGCGCAGGGAACCCATCCGGACCTGAAAGTGGTCCTTTGACAGGGTTACTCAATGGAGAAGAGTTGAAACAGTCACCGGCCTCAACTCCGCGTGGTGGGGTCAATGGGGGTACTCCAGCTCCACCAGGATCAGCGCATAGCATGCATCCTGCATCAGTACCTGGCGTACACGGCGGGACGGATCTCATGGATCAGCAGAGCAGTAAAGTGAGCTTTCCTTTTCATTTTCATGTTTTGATCTTAGAATTTACTAATTTTTTTTGTTTGAACTTGGTCCACACTACGTAGTATGTCCACAAGGCTGATTGTAAAGCCTGGAAATGGAATACTGCTTATCTCCCTGGAAGCTCATTCTGAAATTTTTGAGCATTTGTTGATTTATTCTTTGAACAGCTAGACGGGGGTAAAAAGCTACAGCATCTCTATATCGGTTCAAAGGTCTGTACATCCAGGGTTAGGGATGTTGTGTTTTGACGGGTCAATGCTGGGTAACAGGGGACTCGGGCATCGGCTTATCAATAAATGCGCGAGCAGCGATATATAGAGGTGTACAAATTGAGAATTGCCCCAGAAGACGAACGCAGCAGAGTTAAGCGTGGTTATCAATGTTGGCGGTCTGAGATAGCGAGTCTAAAACTGAGTTTAACCTAGAAATGGTAAAAACTCAGAAAACGGGTTCTTGATGCTGGATCAAAAAATCCGCTCATTAAACTTCGAATCAGAATTTTTTCGCTGATCATTTCATGATCTTTTCGTATCGTTCCTTACTCATTGTATACTTTAGTGTCGGCTATTGCAGGACGACATCGAAGTGAGCAAGATCAAGCAAGGCTTGTTAGACGACTTTGCGCCAAAGGAAGAGATATCATCTGGTGATCAGCCATATTTCTGAGTCCGAAGTGCTAACTGTCGTCCATCAATCGACGCTACTTGCTGCCGGTGCAGAGTGTGTTCCATTTGTGAGTTGCGCAATGTTGCGGGATCCATTCACATTATTCGCTTTGACATTTGTCACATAACGATGCGAATTTCCATTTCTTTCCCACATATTCCCTCTTTTGGCTACACAAATTCTTACCATATATCTGATGTGATACTCCATTTATGTTTTAACTACTTTTTTGTGCACAACAAACACTTACAGTCCTCGGTATTATCAACTATGTTAGGTCATCAGATGCAAGGGCTATTGGCGAGTTGTTTGATTAAAGTTTCTCAGTCAAAGACACCCTCGGAACTTACGTCCTAGGTTATTTTCATATCACTTCATTTTCAGTTTGGATCTTGTAATGGTACTCCCTAGATTGTAAATTATCTAAAGTATGTATTTTTAATTTATACTATCGCTAAGACTATATGTGTACGCAGCGCGTTAGCTCTTCTACGACTGTGCAACTTTCATTTTATGAATAACCAAAGCATGCAATGTTGCCTTGTTTGGTATAACTAAGTGAACTCAACTTGAGCGACTGACCATTCTCAAAATTAATTCATTATTTCATGAGCTAAAGCTGCTTGATGGATGATTTATTTAAGTATGGTAATGCTATTTCTGCAGTGATCCGATTTTTTCGAGTCTTCTAAACAGCGACAATCTTGCCTAGCACCTTTGCGCTTCTGGAAATTCCTTGTTTTCTGATTCCTCAAGATAGTCAGGTCACTTGCCAAGAAACACTAATCAAACAAGGTAACATTGCGAAAGTTGTGGAGAAGCCATGCTACAAGTCAAGCCATTATCTTTTGCAAATCAAGCCGGAGTCACTTGGTTATCCACTTTTTACTTTGTACAACCAAAAGTTCACAATCCGTTCATCTGCATTCCTTTCCTTTTGCTCCTTTCCACCCCAGTCTCTCTCCCCCCCCCCCCCCTTCTTCCCACATCCTTCTTCACCTTTCTTCAAAAAGCTTCTTTGTAAATGTGGTCTGCTTTTTTATTGACGACAACAAACTGGGTTCCCTCGTGAAAATGTTTTGTATGTATGTCAGGAAGCCCATGGTGCTTTTGAAATTCTTTCAAGAAAAGGTGAAATTGATTTCGCATTGAAAGTGGTGTGTATCTGACGTTTGATGATGGTGAGATGGGAACAACAGGGCGTTGTCGGGTGTTTTATTATTGTCGCATCCCGACTCCTCAGCTCGTAGCATATTGCCAATGATTTATTATTATTTAATTCTTACATATATCGTATTGGTTTAAAATCATAATCTAAGACCTTGTGGTGATGTTTTATTTTTTGATATTTAATTAAGCAATGTGACTTGTTAGGAGTTGTCGAAGCGGCGTGTGTCGGCAAGTTTTTCTGAAAAAGAGAAGGTTTTTTGCAACAGTTGCTGGCGTTTTTTTTCTCAGTTGTTATTTTAAAACCATTAGTGCTGTCTCCTGCGCCTTATTCTTTGTTGCGATGCAGCTTTCCGAAAACAAACGCGATAACTCCTTGCAAGTCACTTTGTTATCCTAAGAATTTATTCTTCTGTCGACCGCATGCACATCTCCATGTATCTCCGTGCTGCGTCTCGAGGCCTTCCGAGCAGAAATCGAATAACGTTGATCGTATGTGAGATATTTGGTGCATTTATGTCTCTTAGAATTCTCAAGCATTGATAGCGCATCCTCACGTCATCGCCGTAACTTTTTCAAAAACTGCATATCTAACGATATGTGCGCTGAAATTCCCCCACTTCCTGGTTTCGCTCCACTTTTTTGTCGAGTTTTAGTTTCATACAGTGCTATATTTAACGATTAATCTGTTAATGTAACACAGTAACCACGTTCATATTGCCCATCATGTATCGAAGTTCTCTTCTTGGAATTATTTATCCTTTCTTCTTCCCTTTCGCACCCTCTTTTACGCTGTATTCACCATAATTCTTTTTTTTTCTGTAGTTTACTGTATATCGGCGATCTACTATGAGACACGTGACTGTTTTGAGATAAAATAGTTCGTTCGATTCGAGCTGTGCTAAACATGGTTGTTTTTGTGGTCCTCACTAGTTGCCGCTGACCCCCACTGAAATTGTCGATGTTGTCTACCCTTACAGTAACTGCTGCTGATGATTTTTTGCGTTGATTGTACTTTTTGATTGGTTTTAAACATGTAGATCAGACCACATCATTCGTATCTTTATACATTGTGTTGCGACAATACGCTGTCGTAATGTTTTGGATTGTTCATTTAAGGAGAATAAATAATATTTACCTCTTTCGGTTGGTTTTTGTATGAAGGCTATGACCGCAAAGGTTCTTCCGCTGCAGCTTTCTTTGTTTTCTATGGTTCATTTTGATTGTGTGAATTTTCAATGCAGATCTACAGGCAGATGAAGAATAAACCTACAGAAGGTTTCGTCAGCGATCCGCAGTTATTGCCTAGGATCAAGGAGGTAATCGTTTACCGACTGTATATTCTTTTTGGTTATTTTTATAGCAAACTCCTCTTACAGCTCTTGTTATTCTAGCGTGTACTTCTCCGAATTTTGATTTCTTTCTGAAATTTCTTGTTGTAGTGTAAGTTTACGATACGTTTCAGCACTGTCGCAACTTTCCAGACCAAAAGTTCTTTCGACCAGAGGACGTAGCTTTTGACTTGCAAAGAAAATACTTGTAAGCTCTTCATGTTTCTAGTTTTTGCATTTTGATATGAAAGTTTTTTTTCAGTGAATATAGTCGTAAAAAATACAAACCTTTCGTGGCAATAGTCCGCGAAGGGCTAAATCGTTTGAATATCAAGGACTCACCTGAACCTGAGGTCGAAAAGATCGAGGAAGTTGAAGTAGTAAATGAGCCCGATATTTCCGTTGTTCGTGAAGTCATCTCACCAGCAACAGCAGCAAAGAACGAGAGGAAGAGGAAAGCTCAAAGGTGCGTAATTGTTATTTTTGGTCAAATTTAAACTCTTTACCCACATTATATGTTATTCTAATCCTGAATTAGCTGTAGTAGATGATCGAGCGTTACTTTTTTGTTTGTTTGAGCGTCCTTATAGGTACCAGATATTGGAAGATTAGTCGAGTATTTCAGCATAGTCTTAATAGCTCAACAAGCAATGTTTATTGTCAATTTTGACGATTTTGCACTCTCTCGTTTTCTAGCTCTACTTCCTCAACGCCCAAGGTTGAAGATGTCTACGTTTCTAGCGACGAAGAAAATGACAAGCAATTCGAGGACATCAAGGTATGTTTGTTTTTCTGTTACCGCTTTGTATTCGCTAACTTCGTTGTGCTTCAGACAACAAATCGTGCCAATAAATCGATACTGAACCTTTACAACAACGCGAAGAAGACAGAGTCTTCTCCAGTTCTGAACACAACCACATCAGCACCGACGAAGAAAAAACGGACAGCAGGAGCTGCAAAAAGCACAGTTTGTTTGCTTGAACCTTTAGCAAAACTCTAAAATCACATCCACTTGCAGATCAGTGCACACACTAGCAGTCCTTCCGTCGCGCCTCGAGGTCTTGGCAATGTCCCCACTCTTGCGGTACAACCTCGTCCTTCTCCAGTGAAGTTTGAAGATCTGGGCGGTTGTGACAGGCAGTTTTTGGTTAGTAAGCCAGTTATTTGTAATCTGCCAACTGTGCCAGGTACAATCTGTTCCGAATTGTATGAGCAATATACTTTAAACTTATGCTTTTCTTCAAATTGCAGGAAGTTTGCCGTCTCGCTATGCATATGAAGCGGCCACATACGTATAATGTACTAGGAGTTGAACCACCAAAGGGATTCTTAGTGCATGGGCCGCCTGGATGCGGAAAAACACTTTTTGCTCAGGTATATTTTGTGATTTTGAGCCGGTTTTTCCATTTTTTTCTTTCTCTTGGCGTCCATGTTAGGAAGTGCGAAGTTTTATATGGGAATAGTATCAAAAATTTCAATCCCATGTTCTTCTCTTTTTTTATTGGTCTGGCAAATTTTTACACTGAAGCTTACCCACTTTCTTCTGTGGTTTTCATCATGCCGTTTCGGCCATTTAAGAATTTCCAATTGAGAATTGCCTTCACTGAATGTCTTTCTTGACGATTTATTGCAAATTGAGGCCTTTTTTAAATTCACATTTCAGGCAGTAGCTGGTGAGTTTGACTTGCCTATGATCCAACTCGCCGCCACGGAACTAGTATCCGGGGTATCTGGCGATACCGAAGAGAAGATCCGTCAGCTGTTCATCATAGCAAAACAAAGCGCTCCGTGCGTATTGGTGAGTTAACGATGAGCGGTGCCAGTGTTTACTTTGGTATATTTGTGTTAACTAGTCGCAGCTTCTCCTTCACTGAACTTTCAATGCATTTCTTCTTTATGTCACATTCAATCGTAAAGCGAAATCGTTTAGATTTTGGATGATATCGATGCTATTGCGCCAAGACGTGAAACGGCTACGAGAGAAATGGAAAGGCGAATCGTCAGTCAGTTGAGCAATTCTCTTGATGGTGAGTGTATCTCAACTTCTGGTTTACTTCTGCATCACTTTTTGTTTGTTCTTATATTAGAATTTTATGTATGAAGTCGTGTTTTGCATTGATGAACATCTAAAAATCTTTTGTACTTATGAAGAAAGTACCTGTTCTTTTTGATTTGACCCATATCCAAATTTTCTATCAGAATTATGTATTTCAAAACTCTGTACTTGCAAAGAGGTGCATGTCGCTATACCTCTTTTTCAGAGCTCTTTGGACCTAGGAAAGACCAAACCTTGCGTGACAGAATTCACATCTCCGACAATGGTGAAGTTACTCTTGAGGATGAAGAGCGAGTTAATGGTAGTGCTATATTTGCTTATTATTATTATCTACCTGTATACAATAAATACCACTCTTGAATCTTTCCGAGCAGTATCCTTTTCTATCATTTATTATTCATAATCAGCTACTGCAGAGAATGCCCACGTGTTGGTGATTGGTACTACCAGTCGGCCAGATGCTGTGGACGGTGGCCTCAGACGTGCTGGGCGTTTCGATACGGAGATTTCACTGGGTATTCCCGATGAACAAGCCAGGCAAAAGATTTTGAACACGGTTTGCAAGTGAGTTGTAGGACTTTATCTTAAATAAAATATGTTATAAATCTTGTTTTGCGCGATTGAATGCGATATGTCGGTTTTTCTGATTTGATCCGAAATTAGTATTGACATTTGTTAAGGCTACCTCTGGACGAAGATGTTAACCTAAAGATGGTGGCAAGGTTGACTCCAGGATATGTGGGAGCTGATTTGAATGCTTTGGTCAGGGAAGCAGCTAAATGCGCTATTGATAGGTAAGTCATTTCTTTTTTTTTTCAAGGTCCTAGAGAAACTACTGTTTGTCATGGAATTTTGCAGCGATTACTCATTCTTTCTACAGGATATTCGACACGATCGTAAGCCATAGATCATCAAAACGCCAAATGACTAACGAAGAAGTGAAGGAAGAGTTGGAGAAGGGTGAAATCACAGAAAATTTACCTTAGTCTTGTCTGCCTATCACATAAAATTCCAGTGCTTGCTTGGCTACAGTCCGAAGACGATCCAGGAGTGTTGGAGAAACTAGGTGGATTCCGAGTGGCTATGTCGGATTTCGAACGTGCACTCGAAAATGTTCAACCTTCAGCGAAGCGTGAAGGCTTCGCTACGGTGCCGGATGTGTCGTGGCAGGATATTGGTGCTTTGAGCGAAATAAGGCAGGAATTGGAATGGCACATACTGGTATGTTTCGAGACCTTAACAAAACGATCTTCGACTGAGAAAAGTTATTTTGAGTTCCCTCCGCTTTTGAAGATGTTCAAAAACATCATGTATAAAAGCGCAAGCGTCTCATCATTTGTACAACGTGATTTTGATCCGACTGGGTTCTGACAATTTGTCAGTCCATGAAAGGTCGTGACGACCTTGACACATTGCAGTTTGCGGCTAATGTGTAGATACGCTATTTTTATGAGAACTGCCCGTTCAAAATGACAGGCGAATTAGGGGAATAGATCAGTTGGGAACGTGGAACATGAACCCAACCTGATTTACCCTTAGAAGTTCTACCCTCGTCTTAGACCTTCTAGAGTTTGCTGGCAGCCTTGCTTGTGTCTGTGGTACGGTAGCATTGAAGATTGCTTTTGGAAGATATAGGGATATTAGGGACAGATAAAACTATAGTAGGACACATTTTGTGAGTATTAAACAGACTTTAGAGTGATATGAGTGGAAAGGCGTGACTTTTCGGATCGAGTTAATCCAAACTGCTTAGCCCTCGAATATCAGGGAAACAGAGAGAAATTGACGTATTGATTTTATTACTTAAATGGAGGGATGCTTTTAGTTGAGACGAGTTTTTCTTTTTTTTTATCTTGGGAGTTTTTCCTCCATGCGCTGAAATTTCAGATTTCTAAGATTGTGTTATTTTAAATTTATAATCATTATCTTTTCGGCCTTAATCGCATTCATTTTAAAGCGAACAGAGATTAATGTATTGATGTAAAGTAAACAGTCAAATTACATGACCGCCTTAACCTTCAAGTTTCGATTTTTGGCGTCAGATCTTCAAAGTTGCCTTACAAAGGGTTTTTTGCAAAAACTATTTTCTGTTCATACTGCGACCTGTCAATTCTGAATGTGTTGATATTGTCTTGTCGAATCAAGTAAGTGCCACCTTAACGCGGTTTCCTTAGCACCAACACCTGCCGCCACCTCAGTGACGCAACCCGCGTCATGACCTGATTTGATTAGCACAGCGTGGGTAGGTGTAGATTTACAGCCTGCGCCGCATCCTGTCCACCACGCTGCTGTTTTTTTCGAGAGCGGGCTACGAGTCGCTCCGTTGTCCTCGGCTCGAAGCTCGTGTCATACGGGGACGCCTCTGCGTCTCTACTGGCCCCACCGCCGGCATGCTCATCACGACGTCGCGGCGATGTATCCATTCGTCGCGCTCGTATGCGTGTATGCGTGCATCAGGCGCTGGTCTCCGTCTCCACCAAAGGACAGATGCACTAGGGTCAAACGACTCTGGATGTGCCTATGTTGTGTGTATGTGCGTCTGTCTACGCCCTAAATGTAGACTGGGCTGTGTGTTCGACCCAGCGGACGCTCTTGAAACAATGAGGGATCAAGTTGAGGATTAGGTTGAAATTTTTTGAGTGTGGTAACTGATTAGCATTTGGATGTATATGAGGGGGAGATGTGGCTCACTATATCGCAGTCTATAATCCAAGTTGATAGAACCGCGTTAAACCAGCCGACAGGACGATTGGTACGGCTGCAGAGATTCCTCCCCCCCCTCCCATCAAGAGAAGTATGGATTGGTAGTGGCCTACAGAGAATGGATTTCATATTGGAGCTTGTTTTTCACTGTTATGCATAAAAGCTATGAAAATATATTGGGGACTCGACCATCAAGAAAATTATGTTGAAAGGTTCACCGCGGCAGTCACATTTGCATACTTTGGCAAAGTTACTGATCAAGATCTTTGTGGGAGAAACTCGAATCGGTGGCGTATCAGAAATCTGAGAAATGAAATGGGGGGGGGGTGATGAGAACGGACCTAGACAAAAACTTTCCGAATGAAGGCGTGTAGTTAGCTACGCACGACAGGAAAATTGTGAGCTCAGTTTGCGAAAAATTTTTGGGAAGGATCCGTTTCGTTGATTTTGAGTAGAATAGAGTGATCGAAAGATTCTGATTTGCAAACACTGCTCGCACAAAAATTCAAAATTCGAAATAGTTCAAAGTTTTTTCTAAACACTTGAGTTGAAGTGGAGATTGTATCGAGTGACTGAACAAGCCTATTCTATGGGAAAGAAAATCAGGATGATTTTCTAAGCGAGTGGGGCTTGAGGAAGAAACGTGTCCATTTTTTAATGACTTGGCTCTGAGCTTTTCGGTTGTTCTTCTTTACTGAAAACAACATACCTGTTGTGGCAGATTGTTTTGGAGACAAACCATTGAACCGTTTAGACCAACATAGCTCAATATTCGCAGTGTTTGTGGCCTTTGCGGTATAGGGATTGCTGAGCCACACTTTTCGAACGTGAATGGTTTTGCTGATGAGCTTGTGTTTTTGGCCCTAAATAGCTGTTTGCGCCATGATTTGAGCCACTCAGAAAGTACTAGTATTATAGTGCAACCATGCGGCACATGTAATTCACAGGAAAATGAAGCCGCTATTGATGAGTTTCAAAGAAATTGTTGCTTCAACAAATCTGCTTTTAAACTACTAATTCTGTCTGAAATATGAGCCTGATCTTTGCGTTAAGTGTGAATGTTTTGACAGCCGTCGTTTAGTGACAACTCGTGCAAGTTGAGTTTCCAAAAAAAGTTTGCGTGACAGCAAGGGTGCAGAAGTGGATTTTTTTTTCTCAGAATATCTCGGTACTTTGAGATTTGGAGATTGGTGAGCATGAATATTTACTGCGTGACTCTAATCATAAACATTTTAGTTTCCTGTCAAACGCCCTGAAGATTTTGCCTTACTGGGGATCAGCGCAAAACCCCAAGGTATTCTGCTTTGTGGACCACCAGGATGTGGAAAAACACTGCTGGCAAAAGCTGTTGCGAACGAAACTGGCATGAACTTTATCAGCGTAAAAGGTCCGGAGCTGTTGAACATGGTGAGTAGTAATTTTTCCGCTAAGTTTTTATTTGAAGCAGTTTTTCTCTGAAACCGTTGAGCTTTTTATTTTTTGTCTGACTATTCTTGAAGCAAAAAATTATTGTTCATTTCTCAAACTTTCCTTATACGCAATCCATCATTTTGGTCTTTTTTTTGACAAAATGTCACATTATGCTTATATCCAATTGTTTTTCTCCTCGCACCGCTTGAAAGTGATGAAATGAGGGGCATAGGGCCTGGAGCGAGAAGAAGGCGGGCCCGTAGGCGGCTATAATAGGGAAGAAGACAAGACTCGTAAACGCCAAGATATTGCGCATAAAAGGAATCGATATCAGCTGGCTGCCGTTTGGATTTTGTTTAGCCAAAGGTGCATTAGGGACCTTTGGGAAGGGAAAGCGAATTCATTAGTAGCAAAACCATTATGTACAAAAATTTGTAGAGACCACCTAAAGTGATCTCGTGGTATTGTATTATTTTTTTGTGTTAAACGAAGCTTCAGCTTCCGGTGGGCTTTAGAGTTTTAGTGTGGGGGAGCGTCTGAGATTCAGGGATTAAATTTCAAAAGCTTGGCTGCGACAGGAAAAAAGTTTTAAGACGCGCTTTTGGTAAGGATTATATCGTGTTTCAACTGAGCAAAATGTTTGAACAGAGCTTCTCCATAATAAAGTTGCTTCTTTTTCAATTAAACTCAAAGTCTCTTAAAATTGCAAACATACATTGGAGTAGATTCCCATTCAAGAGTGTGCTACCATCCACCTAAATGGTGCCATTTTGGTTCTGAATGCAAAAGGACACGATAGTGTATTATTGTTGCACGATCTGTTTATCGAATCTACCTCTACTATGACCATGAAAACATGATCAACTGCTATGGTTGACCGACCTTATTCTATCTGTTTCGCTTGAGATTGCGGTTTATCTCTAATTTTTTGTTATCTAAACGAAATGGTTCTGTCTGTGTAGAATTTTTAGAATGAACAAGAATGGTGATATCGAGGAGATTTCTATTGGATGTTGTTCTTCTCATACGCGTACAAAAGCCCGAGACATCATCAGAATTAATCTTTTTTTCGCCATTTTGCTCGAATTTATACACATCTGGTTGAAAGGAGGTTTTTAGAACATATAATGTCATATCATGGAAATTTGGACCGCAATATTTCTTTCTTTTCCACTACATATTCTATGATCCAAGATTTACTTTGATCTTTGCAGGCATAAGCACTGCTTCCCGTTATCGCTTGCATGAAACATCCCGTATGTGCTTCTTACTCACTACTAGTACGAAGTTGCGTTTTCAAAGCATCTATTCTGCCGCGCACATGGTTGTTGAATCATAATTTGGTAGTCATTGCTGTTTCAAGTACTTTTCTGGTTTTCAAGTACTTCTTGGAACTTATTCGGCACTAGCGCAAGCGTCTAACTTTCTTCTTTACTGCCTCGTTCTGGAAATGATCATTTAAAGTTTAGTGACAGTCCTAAATGGTGGCATATTCCTCTATTCTGAAGAAACGCGTTCTGTAGTTTTGTATACTTGCCTTCTGAGTCTCTACCGTCTCAAGGTTAGATTTCTTGGTACTTTGCCGAGGGAAATTTTTGACGTATAAAAGTCAGGTCATTTGTGGAAGACCCAATATATGCATTAAAAAGTTGATGTTTGGATTGAATTGCAAAAGCTGCACAGAAGTAATAAGATGTTAGCTCGTAGTCGCTTTTTTGGTGAACTCAAGACTTTCTGATAGTTATTGATTTGCTGCAATTCATAAAATCACTATAATTGTGAATTTCAGTATGTTGGTGAGAGCGAACGTGCTGTGCGCACAGTGTTCCAGAGAGCGCGCGATTCATCGCCATGTGTCATATTTTTTGATGAAATCGACGCATTATGTCCGAAAAGGTCACAGAACGAGGTGAGTTTTTTTTTCGGTTTTTTATTTCCGATCGCCATATAATCTGTCCGTCATTCCTCAATGTTGATGTGGAGAATTATGAATGTGAAAAGTTCTGTTTTATTTGTCGATCACAATTCTTCTAGTCGACTGGTGGTGCACGACTTGTGAATCAGCTACTTACCGAGATGGACGGTGTAGAAGTGCGAAAGCAGGTTTTCCTCATTGGCGCCACAAACCGGCCAGGTGAGCGACTACTTTTTTTACACTTGCAAGACTCTTTGAATAGAATCTGCTCGAATTCGCTATAATGCTTTGCAAACATCGCAGTATGACCATTCTATATCGATTTTCGCGATTTATGCTTGCTTTTTTTGCAGATATTGTTGATCCAGCCATACTGCGCCCAGGACGTCTGGATAAGATATTGTTTGTTGACTTCCCATCTCCAAGCGATCGAGCTGATATATTGAGGAAGACCACTAAGGTAGATATAGATTGATCATATCGCATCTTTCCAATTTTCTTTTCATTATCCATGTTACGTAATTTTTTTGAAAACTTTCTTTGCACATACTTGTAAGTATCGGAAACAAAAGCATACTTCGACTAGATAATTACCGTACCATTTACTATTTTTGACCTTAGTGATTTTTTATGCTTTTCCTTATCTTACACTTGTCTGAAATTCAAAACATCAATGAAAGTTGAAACAAAAAATTGTTTGAGAAAAATCTGTTGGGTGCAATTATTATCAATCTGCAGAAGTCGCATCACTTTTTTCTGCTTCCGTGTTAACTACGCGACCCTTAATTCGTCAATTTTTTCTGGCTCTGCTGTAAAGTCGCAGTGTTGGGTAAAAATGATGGTTTTTTCAGAATGGCACTCATCCAAAAATTAGTCAAGATGTGGACTTTGACGTGCTGGCTAAAATTCCTGAACTCGATGGTTTTACGTTAGTTTATAAAATTTCATTCCAGATTTGACATAGTTTGTGTCCATTCAAATTCTCCATCTTTCAGCGGAGCCGATTTAGCAGCATTAGTGCATGAAGCGTCGATTATTGCACTCAAAGCTCGACTTTTCACTAATGACACCAGTGTGGATGCAGTGGGCATGGAACACTTCCAGAAAGCCGTTAAAAATATTCGGCCTTCTGTTACCGATGCGGATAGAAGGAAGTATATGAGAATGAAAGAGATCTATAGTGTACAGGGACGAGCGCAAACTTTGAAAACTGGCGTCGAAGCGCAGAGTATGGATGTGTGATGTTTGGTAATGATACATTTGTATAGTTCGTGAGATTATGCCTTTACTCTTTTTCCACTTGTTATTTTATGTTGCTTTTTAGCGCACAAAAGAAGTTGTCATTTGCTAAACTATAGAATTCATATTTAATAATGTTAGTAAAAGGTGAGTGCCCTCGATTTCTAATTTTGAGATTTTATACATTTTTTCAATTATTTTTTGTTGGAAATCAAGCGCATGTTCGATTACCGGTTGAAGTTAGTTTCTGGCAAGTTTTTCTTTGTTAATCATAGTATAGACTGTTGTTATCGTTGAAAATGCTTGTTGACTTATTGTTGGTTCTTTTTTATAATAAAAGGAATAATTGCATATGTGTAGATGTGGTCGAATGAGTTTGACATGCCTCTCAAATGTATCTGTGTTTTCTTGTCGAAATGTGTTTGTAGAATGGCCAGGCATTTTATGGCTTTTGTGTGTGAGAGACTGCTCAATCGCTTTTTGTTTTGTTTCAGGACGGTCAACGTCCAACATATGCATAGTGAGTCATGACATCATGGCAACCAAACCAGGAAGAACTGACACAGGTAGAGTAGCTGGGATTAAAAAGTGTAAACTTGCCTGAGAGTGATTTTTTGTGTCTGCATGGTTTGAAGTAATGTGCAGCACCGGGAAATTCGTGCTTTGTTTCACAAATTCCTGTTGTGCTTCTAGTAGGGGTGAAGGGGGGGGGGTGGTCGATTTTGGTGCGGTACAGTGGAGGAGTCACTAATTTATTGACGCACCAAGGTGGAGAAGATGAAATACGAGGATTAGCTTTAGGGAGAAGATATCTCCAATGCAGCTTCATTTTGGTGCAATTTTTTGGTTTGGAACCGTGCTTTTGAGAATTTGTGCTATCCCAAGATTGAAGCACACGAACGCAATCTATCCATTGCTATTCGAAGAAATTAGGAAATTGCGTTGTAGTGTAGTTTCACAGGAACTGCTTGATCACTCTATCTCTTCTTTCAGTTGTCTTTTGTGAGAACAGAGCGCTTTTATCATTCATTTTGCGACTAATAGACTCGAAATCGTTTGCACATGCATCGTCTAAGGAGCTAGATCACACGTATAAGCTTGTTTACTATACGATCAAGAGCTTGTTTTGACAATGTGTGCAAATCGATTTGGAGTCTCAGAATAAGTGATAGATAAGCAGTGTTTTGCTAAAAATTTGTCATTAGATATTAAAAGTACAAATAAGCAGGATGTCTTGCCAGTTACATTTTATAACAGGGGTTTGGTACTGTTGGGAAACAAGGTCTTAACAACGAAATTTCAAAAGTAAACAGAATCTTATATATAAAGCTGAATGTCTGTTTGTCTGTCTGTCTGTATGTCTGTCTGTCTGTACGTATGTTCCGAATAGAAAATTCCATTTCTGAATCGATCGGGACCAAACTTGGCACGCATACACTTCGGGCCCCGGCGGGTGTCATAGGCTACTTTTCGTCATCGATCGATATCGATTTTATCGATTTTTTGCAAAATTTGAGCTACGGGGCTGGGAGTTGGCACAGGGGGGTAATCGAGCATGCTGATCACCCCCGTGGGGGTGATCAGCATGCTCGATTATACCCCTCTGCCAAATTCCAGCCCCCTAGCTCAAATTTTGCAAAAAATCGATAAAATCGGCATCGACCGATAACGAAAAGTGGACTGTGACACCCGCCGGGCCCGAAGTGTATGTGTGCAAAGTTTGGTACGGATCGGTTAAGAAATGGAATTTTCTATTCGGAACATACGGCGGAGCCGGGTAAGCCAGCTAGTTTAGCATAAACGATCATCACTTCCTGAAAGAAGTTTTGAAAGAAGGCCAACAACATCAGTTTTTTTGTGCGCTGTAAAGTGAGTGGGTGCCTAGACAGCTTGGAATCTGTTTTACTTCTAAGCATTTGGAGTAAAAAAGATTGTCTTGGCATTTTGCGTGCGCAGAAATTTGACCGAATAGAAATTTACATACTCAAAAGCAGAGTAGTGTCTTATTGATCTGAGCTAATCTAAAACATCACAAGCTTTTTTGAAAATTCGATGACTACAAGAAAACTCATTATTGCCATATTGAATGACGCTTTGCTTCACTCAACGAATCCTCAGGAGAAACAAATGTAAATGCGAAATGAGATATCCATTCTCTGAAATGTAATCTGCGCGTATTCATGAAAGCTGGAATATTGAGAATTTGATTTTTTACAAATTTCAGGTTCTTCACTTGCTTCATCACTCTCAATCCACAGACACGGTCGTACAGCGAAATGTTCAACAACAACTCGATATGCTCAATGGCCATCAGTCATTCTGCTGTTATCTTGTACATATCCTGAGCGGAATGAAAGAGGAACAGGTAAGAGAGCGCGTTTGCTCTTATTTATATTTTTTGTACTTACCCAATCTAGGAGGCTAGTCGATCACTTGCTGGTTTGATATTGAAAAACAATGTGCGGTCACAGTGGACTAAGTATCCAGATGATGTTCGGGAATTTGTAAAAACGAACACATTAGCAAGCATAGCAGATCCTAGCGCATTAATCCGTGCAACTGTTGGAATAATAAGTATGTTTATTTCTTACTCTTTTTTTTGATCATTCAGACTTCATATTGTTTTTCAGTCACCACAATAGTTGTCGAGGAAAACGGCGTAGGTCATTGGCCGACTTTGCTGCCTTACTTGGGACATCTTTTAGAACAGCCAGATCCTAATATGCAAGAGGTGCACTATTGTTGTTTTTAACTTTTCCTTTTCTTATATTCAAATCATAATTTTCATAGTTTGAGTTTGACTGATTTGATTACTCACTTCACTCTTCAGGGTTCTATGGGAGCAATACAGAAGATTTTTGAAGATTCTGGGGACCGTTTAGACACTGAGCAACATGTGCATCCATTAATGCCGAAGATATTGTCGTTCTTTAGTTCGGAAAGCGCAAAAATGAGGTATTGTTGATATTTGATAAGAATTTTGTCATTGTCAGCTTTGTTGCCTTTGATGGTTCTCTTTTCGAATGGTTTTCTAAAGCCTGTTTTATCTTATAGAGGCTTATCGATGAATTCCGTCAATAGCATTCTGATGATAAATAATGATCCAATTAGCGCGGTCATCGACGATTTTTTGCAACAGCTATTCGGCCGAGCGCATGACCAAGATCCAGTACGTGTGCTTTTTTTCTTGGCTGTAGTCTTCGGTTCATTAGGAAGCTTTAGGAAGTTCAAAAGCAATTATGTCGGTCGCTTACGTTGTTACTTGATAGTCACTTTGATAAATTGGCTCCACATCTTCCAAATGTCATCGATTACATCATCATGAAGACTCAGGTACGTTCCCTGCATTATCGTTTTTTCTACAATAACTTGAGGTTATCTCAACCAGTTTCTCAGAGTTATATTTCAGGATCCCAACGAGAATATCGCCGTAGAGGCATGCGAGTTTTGGTTATCACTGGCCGAGAATTCAGACGTATGCAAAGAGTTACTGTCACCATTCCTGCCAAAACTGGTTCCTGTTTTGATCAAATGCATGCGATACTCGGAAAGCGACATAATTGCTCTGAAGGTTTACACACTTTACAACAATGTTTGCAAATTTATGATTGCACCACTGAAAGAAGAATCGTTCAGGGTAATTGCGACGAAGAAGATGCCATGATACCGGACAGGGATGAAGATATAAAGCCTCGATTCCACAAATCAAAAGTTGCGGCAGGTTTGGTCAATGGCGAAGTGAGTAGATTTTTTGGACAAATAGCTGTTTTTTATCTTTTTCCACTTGGATGTTACCTTGTAAACGTAACCCCTCTTGCTGCAGGTTTTTTTATCAATTGTTTATATTAGGTTGATGCATAATTCCTGCACCAAAATAGGTACAGACCGCAATAACTTGGAGTAATCCTATATCCCAAGTAGGATTCGATAAATCATTTGATAGCGCAAACCTAGCTCTACAAGATAGTGCTCAAATATCTACACCAGCTTTAATCCACACGAAGTTTTGAGCCAAAAACTAAAAAAAACCATGCGTCCGAAAACCTTAAGACAGATCTTAAAAAAATTGTAACTTCGTTCAAAAAGCTCATACAAATTTTCTTTCTTGCTCACGCGTAGACATTCCACGTAAGACATTTATCTGTGCGGTTGCTGTATTTTTTTCTCAACTAGGCGATGAAAAAACGAAGTTTTTTGAAGATTTTCATGTTTTTGCCAAATTAGTGCTGAGATGTTCTAGTATAAACAGTTGTATAGTACATGCCGTTAGCAGTGAAACTTTACATTTTCAGCCTTCTAGAACTGCTAGTTCGCGAGAAATAACGAATCTAGCTCTCCTTATCCAAATTTTTCTTGCCTAGTTGCTAAAAATCCGGTATTTCTCGTAAACCAGCTGCTCCAAAGAGCTGAAAATTCACATTCACGCTTCTAAGATCCTATAACATACAACTGTCAGTGCTAGAACATCTCAGCATTGTTTTGGAAAAAACATGAAAAACTTCGTTTTCTCATCGTCTAGTTGAGAAAAAAATACAGCAACCGCATAGATAAATGTCTTACGTGGAACGTCTACGCGTGAGCAAAAAAGAAAATTTGTATGAGCTTTTTGAACGAAATTACAATTTTTTTAAGATCTGTCTTAAGGTTTTCGGACGCATGGTTTTTTTCAGTTTTTGGCTCAAAACTTCGCGTGGATCAAAGCTGGTGTAGATATTTGAGCACTATTTTGTAGAGCTAGGTTTGCGCTATCAAATGATATATCGAATCCTACTTGGGATATAGGATTACTCCAAGTTATTGCGGTCTGTACCTATTTTGGTGCAGGAATTATGCATCAACCTAATATATTTGTTATAGTTTTCCTCCTATCTTAAGTTTTTGAGTATTTGATTTACTAGGGCATCTCAGACCTTTACAGTCTTTTTTAAGTTCTCTGATTCGCATGATGATGATGAGTAAATATATACTTCACAGTTTATAATGCACTTCCAGGATCCTGATGACGATGGCAGCGATGAAACCTACGCTGAATGGAACATACGTGGGTTTTTAGTTCCTTAATATTGTAAAAATATGGTAATGACATCGTTGTAGGACGCTGTTCCGCTGCATCGTTGGACGTTCTTGCCTCGATTTTCAAGCAAGAACTTCTTCCTATCTTGCTACCAATACTGAAGGAAGCTCTTTGTCATCCGGAATGGGAAGTATGTAGTTTTTTTCCTAGGCTAGAGGCTTTAATGTTTGCATCACTATGGATATAAAGAGCTTTTCATTGTCGATGAAAAGATTATGGCTTAAGGTGAAAGAATCTGGTATCCTAGCTCTTGGGGCGGTAGCAGAAGGTTGCATGAATGGCATTACTCCCCATTTACATGAGCTTATCCCTTTCCTGTTGAACATGCTGAACGATAAGAAACCTCTTGTACGGTAAGTTTATCTGTTATAGTAATATGAACGTTATTACACATTTGCTCGCAGCTCCATCACATGCTGGACTCTTTCGCGGTATTGCTCCTGGGTTGTGGAAGAGGCTCGAGAACAGTACTTTGAACCTACATTGAAAGGGGTGAGGCTCTATCTTTGTTATCTGGTTTGATTGGGGTCGTGAACGTAGACTTGCAGCTTCTTGTTCGAGTGCTAGATGGTAATAAACGAGTACAGGAAGCTGCTTGCAGCGCTTTTGCCACAGTAGAAGAGGAAGGTGGAGACTACATCGCTCCTTATCTTTCAGACATCTTGCAGACCTTAGTTCAGGCTTTTGGGATCTATCAGGTGAATATTTAGGTTTCCCCGTTATTTGGTTTAGGATAACAATATTGTAAGCTTTGTAGGCCAAGAACCTGCTTATTCTTTACGATGCAGTTGGTACTTTGGCTAATTCGGTTGGAAGTGCTTTGAGTCAGCCGGTCTATGTTCAAGTGCTCATGCCACCCTTGATGGAGAAATGGCAAAGGCTTGGTAACGACGACAAGGTAAGCTGCTGCTTGTATTTTTGAAAGACTTTGTGACATTTTTCACTTCTTTTATGTGTCACCAATATATAACACTGAGTTGTTTTTTAGGAACTGTTTCCATTGCTCGAATGTGTGTCATCTGTAGCATCGGCAATGGGCATAGCGTTTTTGCCTTACTGTGAACCAGTTTACACGAGGTATGTGTGGGATTATATTCAGCTGATGTTAAAACAATGCTCAGGTTTTGTGTTTATGATTGGGTTGAAAAGACAAGAATGTCGTCTTTTATAACAAGCCAACAAGACGATTGCAAGAAAATATGGGAGGGGTTTTAACAGAGTAAAGCGAGCTCTACAACATAACCTTTGAACGTTGGTATGAGTGGTGATTTTAAGCAAAGTTGCTAATCAAAACACAAGAGCAACTTACAATGCCTAAAATTGGGTTTTTGCCCCAAAAACTCCTACAAACCGTATACAAAAATCCTACAACATTGTACACTACAAACCTTTGGAGTTTTGGTCATAAAACTTTGGCCTTGTTGATGCCTTAGTTCCTGGGAAATATAGAATTTAGCTGAAAAATCCCAAAAAAGCGATATTCTTTTCTTTCCAACCTAATGCATGGTGCATTTTATAGGTGCATCACGTTGATAACACAATCATTGCATCAGTCTATGGAAGCACAGCAGCGACCAAATGAGGTGGAAATGCCCGATAAGGTGTGTTTATTGAGAATATGTTCAAAAAAAACTTGATAGCTTTTCCACTCACTTGATTTGATGTTTCAGGATTATCTCATAGTTGCATTGGACCTGTTATCTGGTCTAGCTGAAAGCTTAGGCGCCCACATTGAGCCATTAGTGGGTCGCAATGAAGTGCTGCAGTTGTTGTCGTTATGCGCTGTGGTGAGTAGTTGGATTATTTTTTTGATTCTGATGCTGATACGCTATTCTAGGATCCTACGCCTGAAGTACGACAAAGTAGTTTTGCACTGCTTGGAGATTTAACAAAAGCTTGTTGGCATCATATAAAACCATATACACGTAAGTCTCTTCTTTTTCTCTCTTGAAAGCTCCCATACCGTTATACTTTTTTGTCTTTAGAGACTTTCATACCTATCTTGGCAATGAATTTTGACCCTTCTCTTATTTCCGTTTGTAACAATGCGATCTGGGCTTTTGGCGAGGTGGGTAGTAGGCATCTGAATTTTCTCTTCTTTTATTTGACTGTGTTTAGATGTCGCTCAAAATGGGAGTGGAGATGAAGCAGTATGTGCTATCGATACTGCCCCATCTTATACGCGTTATGAATCAAAAAGACGGACAGCGAACACTGTTGGAGAACACGGGTGAGTCTTTGTAATCAGTAATTAATGATTTTTGTCTTTAAATCTTATGTGCTTTCTTGTTTTGGTTTTTAAGAGCAAAGCAATTGTCTGGTGATTATTTTGAGAGTTAGTGTAAGAGTTTATCACGCTGTATTTCAGCGATAACAATTGGGCGGCTCGGTACGTATTGTGCCGAGGAAGTAGCTCCACATTTGGTGACATTCATTCGACCAGCATGCTTCAGTCTACGTAATATCAGAGACAATGCAGAGAAAGAAAGCGCTTTCCGAGGAATTTGCTACATGATTAATTTAAACCCATCGGGCGTTGTCAATGTATGTGAAGCTTATTTTTTCGGGTACTTATAAAAGGAGATAATGTTCATTTTAAGGACTTCGTATTCTTATGTGACGCTATCGCTTCATGGTCAACACCGAAACCCGAGTTAAAGGAAATGTTTTCACGGGTGAGTGTTTGCGTTTTTGTAAGCTTCTCAGTCTGTATTTTTTTTGTTCATGGACTTCTGACTTTTTTGCTGTGTTGGGAATTCGCTCTAAATTTTTCAGATTTTAAATGGCTTCCGAAATCAAGTAGGCATTGAGAATTGGACTGCATTTACCGCCCAATTCCCTCCACCACTTCGAGAACGTCTCGCCGCTCAATACAATGTTTGATAACGGCTTCCACGAGTTCACAGACTCTTACCTATTTGTAGGATTAACTTCTATGTTGAGCTGAGTTTTATGTAGTGTGCCTTTTTTAGTGTTCTATCTGTATTCTTTTCATATACTTGTATGTGTCCAGTCTCGCATACTTACCCGCACTCATTGCATGTTTTAGAAAGCAAAATAATAAGGAGTCCTGGCTTACTGCCAAACGCTTGCGATAGAGTTTTCAAGCCAGTGATTCTTTGACCTTGCGACTGATGTCACATGTGATATTCGTTTTTTTGTGCAGAATTTTCTCAAATATCCATATGTGACATCCGATATCCTAAACAAGTTTTATGTCTATGTTTCTGTACATCTGTGTTGTTTGTTGCCAGTCCCTTGTTTAGTTTGGATACTTGCACACCGGGTGAATAGTATGTACTGTTTTAGTTGCCCAATTTTTTTTCGCTACCGTTTTTTTTTCAAGTTTTAGCAATATCCTTGACAAATTTTATTTTCTAGTCATACTAAATCCTGGGTGCGTATCCATGTGGTGTTGTTATCAGCGTCCTTGTTATATGTTTGTAGTTTATATATATAATTTCCCATCTGAATCCATTGTTCGTCAAGATGTGGATTCTGGTTTTGTTACCTGTCCATTTCTCTCCATGTGTTGAAATTGTAGGGTTGTGATCCTGTTGACTCCTCGTACGAGTTACTGGTCGCTAACGCGCATGTGAGCGGGTGCGTTTAAATGGTTCAAGCGAACGAAAGATTTAGAAATAGTAAGTTCTCAGATTTTTCGGTCTGTAGAATTAACGCGCATTTTGTCCCGGTCTCAGCCGTTCGCTTGTCCACGTGCGCGTGACACCATCGCCTGGTGTTTTCTTCTCAGTGCTAGTTGTAGCGTTTTTATGTTGTTAGTCTATGTCCCACGTCCTCGTCCTTGTCTACTATCAGAAAAGTCCGTCCCTTCCACTTCTGTCCATTGTCCCAGTCCAATGTGTGCATGTTTGTCCTTGCGTCCGATCTCTGGTGCTCTCTCCCTCTGATCCATCATCTTTCACTTGTTCTCGTCTCTATATTCTTCTACAATGGTGTGCTGTTCCTTACCCTGTATTCGTCTTGCAATCTGATTACACTAGTTTCTACTACTTGACAGATAGGATTGTATCGACATAGTTGCAGTATGTATGACGTGAACTCGATTTGTTCTTCTTCAAATTTCGGGTTGAGTACCTGTGTTTTGTCCTCGAGGAATCTGTGATTAGTGTCGTGCGCCCAAAATGATTGGCAAACTTGGTTGCAAAGTTCTTCTCAGTGAGCTGGTCATTAGGGGGTTTCCCACGTAAATAACTTGTTTATATGTGTCTGGGTTTCGCGAGGCCATTGGTGCCTGTGGGTCGATTTGTTGCTCTGATAAAATTTTATGTGTCCGTGTATAGTTGTTTGTAATATATCACTCTTCTTGTATTGATTGTTCAGTTTAACACAGCGCTTCAAGACCAAATAAAAATGACAATTTTCATGAAATAAAGAGTTTCAAGATGATTGGAGACCGTACGACTCAAACGCCCTAAATTGTGGTTTCAGCAGCCTCCAGCAGTTCACGAATTTGGGTCATAGAGAGTGAGGCTGATACTTCATTATATAGGTTAGAGGGGATGGAACCAGGGCTCGACACGAGGTGGCTGGATGAAAATGGAAAAAACGAAGTCCCCCTTGACTTTTGGGAATTTTTACGAAGTCCCCTTTGACCCTCAACCAAATTTCCTCTGAAAACCTGAAAAATTCCCCAAAATCCCCCAAAAAAACGAAACGTCGACTAAAAAAAAAGTCGCCGTCGCCAATTTTCCGTGTCTCTTCGGTCACAAAAACGAAACCCCCTTTGCTTTTCGTCCCAAAAACGATATCCAGCTTGCTTGTAAGCCACCTCGTGCCGAGCCCTGGATGGAACTCGCCTACTCAGCGGATGGCCGTAACATTAGGTTGGCACATGAGTAATGCAAACTTTTTATATAATTTTTGCCTTTTTTAACGTAGTAGCAGCGCATTCATTTTCTGGCAATAGGATTATGATGTAAACTGCAAATGCAGGTATATAACTTTGACAAATTTTGTCATCTTGTGTAAGAGTTACGGCGAGTTTACGATATAATGGAGATTAGATTGCAGATTTTGCTGAAACTTGGCCTGAGGGGGTCGACATGCTGGCACAAAAATGAGACCCGCTTCGTGTGAAAAGTTCTCTATCAAGATCAAGAAACAAATGCCATCTTAGCGACAAATGAATGATTTTCGTGTCCATCGTATTGGACTACATAGTGTGCAGAGTTTTAGCAAATTCTGATTTTTTGAATTATTGGCAGATTGCCCTCCAAACGCATTCAACTTGTTCCACTATTCAAGGGCACCATATCTTGGTTTGTCTTCAAATCCTACTTCTTCTATACTGATTATAATGTGTCATCTTCTAGCTACATGCCAATATTCCTTTTTGATACATCTAGTTTAGGTTTTGTACGACTTCATGTTCCCAGACTTCGATTTTCAAGGGTTATCGAAAAATGCTTAATTTTCTACTACGTTATATCAATAAACAAACGGTTTGCACAGACTTGCAGCTTACGTCACAGTCTATATGGTGTCAGAGAATGAAAGTGCTATACTAAATAAGAAAAAAGTTATGGAAAAAGTTGCATAATGTAACGGTACCGCCATACGACGATACTTCGTCGCCAAAATAAAGTAACGCAAAATGAATGAATACAACAGGGCAAACAATACACCAAATTATTATATATACGTTCATTCGAGAATTATGCTTCATGATAGTATTGTCGTTGTTACTGCTGTGGTTATGGAGATGCGACGTCAAGAGTAAAAGTAGTAAAGCCGCATCGGCTATACGGCGACGCGCAAATTGCCTTACAATACAATTTCTTCGAAAGCAAAGGTGTTTATTTATCAATTTCTAATTTGCACGAGGATCTTCATGAGTTAGCCACATAGTTTCAGTTGATAGTTATACTAGAAAAAGAACTAGGGTGGATGTCTCATGTGAAGCGGGGAATAGAAGGGGAACTGATGGTAAGTAAATGTCCCCTTTCCTCAATTCGCCTAAGGGGAAGGAAAAAAGTCTTCGGTAGAACCTCTCCTTGATTTTGGGTGGACTTCCTCTTTGTAGGCATCTTCTTTCATTTGTGTGCTCGCCAAGCTAGATTCGAAACCACTTTTGAACATGGGTAATCATACCTTAAACCAGATCTAGAGGTTAACGACGAACTTAGGTGATCATATTTTCCATCAGATATAGAGGAGAATAACAACTTAAAAGGTCAATACATAATAGCTGGGCAAGGCAAATACGAGGAGCTCTTCAGATTTTTTTTTCGTGAAATAAGCAGGATAACCGAGAAACAAGTTGTAACAGATACAGCGGGTTATGTGAAAGAGCAGAATGCTCGGTGCGGCTAAACATCAACATTCATACGATGAGAACAAAGTAATATCCTGCGGCATCCGTTATCACTGGCTGTTCGAAGGGGCCATGATTGGATTTGCGCTGAAGCTAAATTGTTGAGGTCAATTGAGCAATAATGCGCCCTAGAACCACAGGTCAGTACGAGTAGGCTGGATATGGGTGAGGAGTCACGATAAGCTAGTGATGTCCGAACTTCATTCTCACTTTTTTGTTTTCAAAACTTATCCAAGCCCTTCCATTTGAAATCATCGAAGCTAGATTCCTGCTTGCGGACAGGTTAAGCTAAAGACAGATTATTGAGCCCCCCAACTGTTTAGATCCTATGGCAAAATACAAGATAAATGAATTCGGGTAGCTGTACTATACTTTTTATCTACTTTTTGATTATATGATTTTCAGGTACTGCTGTAAACAGGGACGAGCTGGAGGAGATATAAGCATGAGGCTAAAAAAGAAACTGATTTCTATAAGTGAAAGTGCAGCAGCCGGGAAGGGTCGAGTTGGAGAAAACAGCTTTACAAAAATCAACGGCGAGTATTACCGGTAGGTATGGCTCTAAACAGACACAACAGACACGCGGCTATCCATAAATCTATGAACAGACACTCATATGAACGATAAGACAAGACTGAGAGTACTGTGTTGGAATAACCTTTGTCTATATACCTGAATCTCGGCTTCACTGTAATTTCGGTGGTTCACGACTTGTTGTCCAGGAAGAAATGGGGGCTCGAACCGTCGGCTCCTCAAACGTGGGTAATTAAACTTCATTTGTTACCAATCAAACAACGGATCAACAAACAACGAAATGCATGTGAAATACAAAACCTTGGAATGACAACATGAAAGAAGGATCATGGATATTCCTAAGCATGACGAACACAATGACATAGAGAAATGAAAAATAGATGACAGGATAAGAACAAAGGAACCTGAGATATGATGATAAAGACCTAAAGAATAACAAACGGGCTCAATGCCCGACAAAATGATAAAACTGATCCGTCGATAATCCCGCTCCCCTTTTTATAGCGGCGGGTCGAACATGACCTACGTTGAATGGGTGCTGCGATCCAGCATGAACAGAAATATAACTTTCCTTGAATATGTCTAATTGCGCAATTCCTAAGTCATTGCGCATATTCACCTAGTTCGTCCTATGTTTTTTCTTTATAATTATTATTGCTCAGAATAGTGCGTTTGATGAAGCACGAATAATTTTATGCTATGCGTTATTCGCCTGCTTCTATCGCCATCACCCTGGATAGCGTGCAACTGCAGACGTTACTGTGGTAAGTCATCTTTACCTACCGTAATGACGAGATTCAAAATGGGTACGCACATTTACCTACATTGATTTATAGAATATGTTAACATATCATACAACATACCGAAAGGCATTGTGCTATCCCCGATTCCGGTTGCACGTGGCCATGTAAGTGGGTAAGGATCCCCTCGTAAGCGTTCACGATATTTCGGATCACTTGTTGCAGTTGAAATCTATTGTAACTTACCCAACTATTTTGAAGATTTTGTTTGTCATCAAACCAAAGCTTTCAACGAGTTGGGTATATTCGATATACGCACGTACTCTGCCAGGAAAAACCCTTTCATGTTTTCATGACTTTTTCTTCACGTTCGGATTCATAAATTATAACGAAAAGGTTTATCTCAAAAACAAATATAAGCAAACAAAATCGTAAAAATAAACTAAGGAAGCAAATGACGTCCTCGCGGATACTGGTTTTGGGAAAAAGTTAGGCCATATACTCTTTGATGCGTAGATACGCAGCCAAAGTTCTGATCTACTAAAAGCATTACAGCACTTTTTCCTGAATCATCGTTATAGCGCGATATCTTTCAATTATACCCCTGATATAGTTCGCTATTGTATTTCGTATAAGGCTCATACATAAGGGGTCAGGTTGTATCACCTCAGTTACAGGCATAATTTTTATTCATTTTCTGCGCCTACCTTCAATTTCATTTCTGCACTTTTGCACATACTATACCAATAGGTGGAGTGGTTACTGGCAGGGGAAGGTAAGTGCCTGCGCTTCGGTATATTATCAGATCTTGGGAGTGCCGCCCTCAGAAAGCAAACGCTCCAAAACCATTAGGTGACCTTCCCTCTGGTACTGAGTTAGGCCATTCAGTGCTTCAGATCTAGGCTTTAAAAATCTACAAAAAACAATGCAAATACTAATTCTTACTTTCAAGGTTTCACATTTCATAAAACTAAGGTGAACGGCACATATAACCTATTGAATTTCGGAGACAATACTCGGGGCACTAAATTTCATGATAATTGTCAAATCTGAAATATCCTTGTTCAGCAAAGTTCTGTTACTTCTGATACAACTGGATTGAAAGTCAATACATATATAACTTCAAATGTCAACTACCAAACTTTGTTGTGCCATTTGTGTTAGATGTGGGCTGCAGTATAAAGGCATCAAGAAAGTTAAATTAAAGGATAAAAGAGCTTTGAGGTTCATAGGCAAAGGAAATAAAGGAAAAACTTTGTACAAACACTTCCAAGAGGGGAATTGTGTGAGTGGCAGTGTCAAGTTCATTATTTGAGACAATCTTTCTCCAAACACGGATATTGCAGTCCCCAAGAAAAAATAATTTTTTTAGATAAGATTACTAACACCTTTTCGTTCTAGTAACAACAGTATCAAGGGATATGGTAATTCATCTTGAATCAATAATCTATTAGGATGTGTAATAAGGTCGTTCGCAATTATTGTTTCAGTTTTTTCTCAAGATTTTGCAGAGCATTTGGTGAGATTTTTGTATGCGTTCAAAAGCTCTAAGTCTGCTCTGCCATTCCTATCATTATTTTGGAATGTTTGAAACAGATATCCGCCACTTCTAGCAAATTTTTTTGTAGTTAGCCGGATGAGGAATGTTTGTAAACATATTGGTAAATCAGCAGATAGCAACTCCAAGTTTTCTCATGATATTGTGTTAGTTCTGCAAAAATATTTGTATTTTTGATCGACCAGTATGCAGTGATGATTATTTGTCACGTCTTATCGTACTAACATAATTGCCGAAATGATCTCTAAGGAATTTGAATATGTTCATAACTTTGACTGAAATTTTCTATACTACTATAATGCGGGTGAGGGAACTTACATACACAATGAGATTGTCGCCGCCTAATTAGCGGAGTTCATGAGAGGTCATGAACTGGCAGCAACGCTAATACACTCATTTTGCACCGAAGATGAGCTGATTCTGCTCACGATAACTCCGTCATCATCCTGCAGCCTATGAAACCGAAATTTCTTTGAAATTTGAATTCAAAGTTCAGTAGTGAAATCAGTCCAATTAGAGCAAAAACTTGTATTTAGGGGTATTTTATCACGCTGATTCCGAATATGTTAACCATTTTACTTGAAACCTAGGTTTTTTCCTCTTTGAATTAAAACTTGTTTTCACAAATGAAAATTTCAAAAATTTTATATAAGGGTTTTCTGACATGCTGTTTCCTAAAAAGCTAATGGTTACGCTCCAAACTTTGATTATTTTTTCCTTGGAAATTTTATTTATTTTCATTCTCGTAAATTTGACAAATTTCACAATTAGGATTTTTTGACATGCTGTTTAAAAAAGCTGATGGTTTGCATGAAACATCGAAATTTCTCTATTTTGAATTTCAAACTTTTTTCGGATGTGCAGATTCTTATTCGATGTTAAAGTCCATTTCGGATTTGAGAAATTTTTGACATCGATACGATTTTCGTTTTTCGATCTAATTGGAGCAAGATAGTTCAATCGAAATCGGATTCATTTTATTTTCTCAAACATAGCAGATTTTTTCCGCTTGTTTTCCAGGTTTATCAAATTTGCAGTGAAATTTCCGAAAAAGAGCTTGAGAAGTAGAAAATTTTTGAGGTTTCAAGCAAAAACATCAGCTTTTTCGTAAACAGCATGTCAGAAAACCCTTACATAGAATTTTTGAAATTTTTGTTGGGAAATTTGTGAAAACAAGTTTTGATTCAAAAAAGAAAAAAATCGTAGATTTCAAGTAAAATGTTTAACCGGAATCAGCGTGATAAAATACCCCTAAATACAAGTTTTTGCACTAATTGGACTGATTTCACTACTGAACTTTGAATTCAAATTTCAAAGAAATTCCGGTTTCATAGGCTGCAGGATGATGACGGATTTACCGTGAGCAGAATCAGCTCATCTTCGGTGCAAAATGAGTGTATTGGCGTTGCTGCCAGTTCATGACCTCTCATGAACTCCGCTAATTAGGCGGCGGCAACCTCATTGTGTATGTAAGTTCCGTTCCCCCTATAATGCACCAATGAATACGAATTTTGTAGGAACTTTGTGTGATTTCGAAATACAATATATACTAGGTATTATGTTTTTGGACGTCTTTTCTCTTCCGTTACAAAGTTACTTTATTAGATTTTATTAGTGAAAAATCATAAAAAATGCAATCATAAAATGCTTCACTTACAATAAATGTGTTAACGATAAATACAATGACTTGCAAAAATATACAGGGTGTCCCAAAAGTAAGTACACACTTTTCAATCGTTAATATCCCTCTTCCCATTGTGTCTTTTTCCGCCATTCAGCAAAATTCTGTAGAGGAGGCTTCAACTTAGATTTGCAGTATTGAGCGAATCACCGATCGCTCTTTGTTACTGTAGGATTACTGTAGGAACTTTGACAAGGATTTTAGGCCATCGGAAGCCATATTCTGCCTCGGATCAAAACCAAACAAGCAAAAAACTCTTACATTATGGTAGTGGAATCCGCTGATTTCGAATGCTAAATTTCCAATTTACTGTGATGCTTCTTTCCAAAGTTATCCTAGGTAAACCGTAACGAACGAATTCCCACTATTTGTCAGAAATGTGATTACACCGTCAAAAAAGCTGAAAACACTTGTAAAATGTTGTGTAGTGAATCAGCGCCCGAAAACCTTAGTATTGTCGGCTCCCCAACTTTGGCGAGGCGGGATCGTGATCTTCACCAAAGATCGATGGATCAGGTATGCCTCAGCACAGGGCAACCGCAATGCAAGGCACGCTAGCGCAACTCCGCCTCGCCAAAGTTGTGGAGCCGCTCATACATGATTTTTCAGATTTTTTGAAAATTTTTTTTTTCAAATGGCATATTTCACATTGGTTTCGGTGATTCGATCAACACAGTAAATCTAAGTTGAAGCCTCCTCTTCGGAATGGTAGCTAATTGGCTGAAAAAGACACAATGAGAAAAGAAATATCAACGATTGAAAAGTGTGTACTTACTTTTGGGACACCCTGTAGAATTATAAAAATTCTTAATTTTTTGCATACATATAAAGGAAACAGTTCGGCTTATATGCATTGCCTTTGATTTGTTCCTCCTCTTCCTGATCTTCCTTTCTCGATCATTTTTTCTTTAATCTATTCCATATGATCTTTCGTGTAGTTTTTCTTGTTTATATTTTTGCTCACTTTTGATCGATTTCTGTTCTTCTCATGGGGTGCGGTAACTTAGGAACCCGAACCCAATAAGGGACGGGACTTAGGAACCCGAGCCTAATTAGCTCGATTCGGGGAGTGCCTGCAGGTTACAGTCATGCTCGCTGGCTCCGATTACTCACTAGGACATAGCAACAATCTAAGCCCCGCCCCCTTGAGAGCCTGTTTGGAACCTAGCCAAGGAATGCTGAAAATCTCAATTGAATTTCAGGGTTGGCTCTAAGCCAAAAACCTTCAAAGTCATCGTACGAAGGTGAAATTAGGCTTAAACGAAAGAGAAAAACCGTGCCATCATCATAAAGCAGCTACTGATTTAAACTGATTGAACACAACATTTTCTTGGTTCAAAACTTTATTCAAGTGTTAAATTACTGAGAAATTATTCAAAAAACCGTCAAGTTTTTCAAAAAAAATCATTAGAGTGCTAAATCCTAGCAAAAAACTAGAATAACATTAGAGAAATAACAGTTTAAAAACTTCTTAAGATTGATAGTTATTTGCTGAAATGCTGAAATTTAGGCGAAAGACTAGAAAATCAATTGCGAAACGACAGTTTATAAAATTCTCAAGAATAAAAGTTTGTTTGTGTGCGGAAATCTGGGCAAAAGACTAGAATATCAAGAAATGAAAAATCAAGAACTTCACTAATGATGCTGCTGTGTCCGTAACGACAGACGATTCTGATGTGCGAAGAACATCCTGCTAATATGCTGGAAGCAATGACCTCAACCTACGCAAGGAAAGGTTGCAATAACAGTTTGAGGCCAAATTTCCCTTATAAATAGAAGCCCTTTAGGGTGAAAACCATTTATCGTTACTATCGATATCTCAACTTCCCATGTCTTATGACGATTATTTTTATTCCCACTTGCAGCATCTGCTGCAACAATTTTATTCATCGGCAGACCCCAATTCTGTTCCTGCACTAAATTGGGAGCCTCAGGTGATTTTGATAAGATCAGCTCAAATTAAAAATAAATTTATACATTTCAGCCGTTGTACACTTCGTCCGCTGACTTGAGCGAGCAGTACTATTCTGATATTTTACCGAATGCTATTCAACTGCGACCACTACAAACTACTTTTTATCTTGAAATTAATTCAAATGCTACACAAACGGAGACGTTATACTCAAGATACTGATATATCGAATACTGTGCCAACGGCAACGCGGATTTCTCTCTATCCTGAAACCAATCCGGATATCATCCAAAGGGAGACGTTACATACTCAAGATTCTGATATTATACCTAATAATGTGCCTGCGGCATCACAGCCTTCTTTTGACACTGAAATCAGTCCAAATATTACACTAACGGAAACGTTGCATACTCAAGATTCCGATATCACTCCAAGCCCCCAAACGGACTCGTTGCAAACTGTTGAGGTAAGCTTGAAATGATCGACGGCCAAGAACATTTTTTATAACAATTTGCAGACACCAGCAAACATTATAACGCAAATCTCCGTAAATGGAAGCGAAAACTCGCAACCTCAAATTTACAAAGGCGAAAAACAAGTAAGCAAAAAAGGATCGAATTTTGTCCTCGTGTATGAGATTCCCGACTCTCAAAATTGCTATATTTTTCAACACCACAAAGTGACAAAGAGTGGCACTGTCTATTGCTGTCGTGGATGCAAGGAGAACGGGAAATACACATCCATCAGGGTAACGAAATATTGCTTGCACTTCAGTTTGAATTGAGGAATTTTGAATAACGAATTTGGATGGAAAAATTCGACTTTAGGCACAAGATGATATTTTCAATGAAGATCCATGCATGATTTCTCATAGTTGCTTGCCCATCAACCGCTATGGCGACAAAGCAAATCGCCACGGTTATCAGGTTATTTTATATTTCACACAAAACTTCACATTTCACAATAAACCTTTTTATAGGCATGTCAGGCGCTACGTAAAGACAAACACGCCTATAAAACAACCCCATACCGTCACTTTTCCGACACAGTTCAAAATATTCTGAATGAATTATGGAAAAGTGAGTTTATTTTTTTGGCATCATCTCATGCACAAATCTTACGATTTTAGCAATCGACGATAGGAGAAAAGTGTTAGGTAAATTTCATGGGGATAGCTATGAGCATAGAAGGAGAACATTTGCCAAGTAAGCCATTTTTAAGAATGTAATTCTCAATATTTTCTGAATTATTTTAGGGCTGCGACCGCTCTGAAAAGAACTGTAGAGATGAATGGCGTCCCGGAAGGTCTCCGCCACATTCCTGGAGGGGATGTTTTTATGCAAATACAAACAGGAGACCTGCATGTGTATTTTTCTAAACAGCTTACTGAAGTTAGCTTGCAAAGTTTTTTTTCTAGATGAAACTTGTTCGAATAGCATTATCTCAGATGACGCGTGATAACGGATTGTACGCCCTGATCGGAGATGGTGTTCTAAATTGAATTTCGTGACAATCCCAAACAGAATGGATAAGGGCCAGTTGTACGTCATTCTTGCAGCCATTCAAGGAGGAATAGAAGTAATTTTTATTTGACAAATGACTAAAATTCGGAAATTATAGCGTATTTTTAGCTGCCAATTTTCTACGCCATAACACGGCACAAGAATCTGGAGACGTACAAAACGATTTTCTAGAGCCTTCGCGAAGTTTTGGGGGGATACAGCGATAGAATCATATAGGACTTCGAGAAGGTTCGTTAGGCTCTTTGAAATATCTTGATTTTCTACAATTTTATTTATAGGCAGCGATTCGAGCAGCGCGCGAGACGTTCCCCGAGGCAAGGCTTCAAGGATGCGCATTCCATCTTGCGCAATCTTGGAATAGAATGGCTGTGAATTTGGGAGTTAGGAAGTTTGTAAGGTGGCCAAAATCAATTCCAGAAGTCAGAAAGTGGTGGGAAATTTTGAAAGGGGTGGTGTTTTTGCCAGAGGTGCTTTTTAATAGAGTCGCAGCCCTTCTATATCCACCGGTAAGTGAGGGACATATGGCTATGTGCCATGCCTAGATTTTTTGAAATATTTAAAGTCCGTATATTTTGATGGTCCATTCAAAGGCAGGTACAAGTGGGATATGGAGGATTTTAAAACAACAAATGCGGCTGAGGCATTCCACAGGTAGTTTCTATGAAAATTTATATCAAATTCAATGATGTAATTTTACAGCAAACTCCGAGGGATGCTGTCTAGGCGAACTAGTCTACCGTTTGAGGAGTTACTTCAGTGTTTGCATTCTATCAACTCGGTGGCATTTGGAACGCTTTACCATGTAAAAGAGGTAACGAAGTTATAAATTCATACAATACTTTACTATTTGATCTTTTTAGAACGCACAAGCATCAAAAGTACTGCGCAGGAGAGATCAACAGCGCCGAGACAATATTAATCAGGAAATGGCTGAGTTCAAACAATTGTTGACTTCAAGCGAATCATCACATACAGATATAATTATTGATTATTGCAGGAAAATGTCTCGATGCGTCGCGGAAAAAACGATATGAATTAGAATTTTATTTTCAGGATGTAAAATACAAATAGATTTGTAAGAAATTCTCGTGAGCCATCATTTGTGTGCGATGGACACAAATGATCATCAAATTTGATTTAGAGTCAGCACATCCTGCGGGCATGCCAGCGGCTGATCACAGATAGTTTGATAATCCAAATTCTGCATTTTTGTGCTGAACGCGTCCAAAAAGTCGATAAAATCGCACACATTTTGAGTCACCCTCAAAAGTTATTGGAAAAAATCAAACGAAAGGATGAGAGAGGCAAAGCCACACTTAATCGAGCATAACAACATTATTTTTTGATGAGCACGGCTCGAAAAATTTGTAAATCTTTAATTTCAGGCAATTGTCGTAGTTTTAACTACTGAGTGGCATTTCTTGATGTGTTTTGCTCGAAATTCAGCACTCAAAAAAAAACTGTTATTTCTGAGAAGTTCTTGATTTTCATTTCTTGATATTCTAGTCTTTTGCCCAGACTTCCGCACACAAACAAACTTTTATTTTTGTGAATTTTATAAACTGTTTCGCAATTGATTTTAGTCTTTCTAGTCTTTCGCCTAAATTTCAGCATTTAAATAACTATCAATCTTGAGAGTTTTTAACCTGTCATTTCTCGAATGATATTCTAGTCTTTTGCCCGGATTTAGCACTCAAATAATTTTTTTCTGAAACTTGACGGTTTTTTGAATAATTTCTCAGTAATTTAGCACTTGAATAAAGTTTTGAACCAAGAAAATGTTGTGTTCAATCAGTTCAATTCAGTAGCTGCTTTACGATGATGGCACGGTTTTTCTCTTTCGTTTGAGCCTAATTTCACCTTCGTACGATGACTTTGAAGGTTTTTGGCTTAGAGCCGCCCCTGAAATTCAATTGAGATTTTCAGCATTCCTTGGCTAGGTTCCAAACAGGCTCTCAAGGGGGCGGGGCTTAGATTGTTGCTACGTCCTAGTGAGTAATCGGAGCCAGCGAGCATGACTGTAAGCTGCAGGCACTCCCCGAATCGAGCTAATTAGGCTCGGGTTCCTAAGTTCCGTCCCCCCTTCTCATGCTCTAGTGGTCTTTTCCCGGCTTCCTCCCCGCTACATGTATCAAAGCCAATTCCTTCCTTTCGAAGCTACTAACCGCTCTTCCCTATCAAAGAGGCTCAGGAGTGCTTTACAGTTACATGCTACCCGCTATAGAAATAGTGAAACAGGCAACAAACATTGAAAAATAATTTATTAGCAAAAAAATTTGCTTGACTGTGAAAGGCAGAGTATGCTTCTTGTTTTGTAAATATATAGTTCTCTGAGCTTATTTGCTATGTTGGACCTGAACGTCTAGGGAACGGATGTAGGACGAAAGAACGAATATTACAAGTTTATTAGCAAACGAGAACAAAAAATAATAATAAAATAAGCCTGCTCTTGCGTCCTTATATGGCGCCCGAGAGTGAACATCAATAGGTCAAAATAGGGTTATTGCGAAATAGGTATACCGCGTACCGAGCAATCTGCTTTCTTTCCTGAAAACCATTGATTTGAGATCCAACACGTTTCACTCTGATGCGCCGCACGCAGCGCACGCGGCAGGCTGCCGCGTCCTGCGGAGTGGTATGAAGGAACATGATTCCGAATCTTTCCCGCTCTGCAAAACATTGTGAACGTTTGAAAATTTGAATTTCATGCTGTAAGTACATAAACAGCTGAAATTATGTGGTCGGATTATTACTTAGTACCTTGACTACAAGGAAGGAACGCAGCCCATGGAAATTCGCACAGGTGTTATTGTACAGCTTTCGCTAGTTATGCCACTTTAGGTTTGACAAATTTAGGTTTATAAACACTCATAACGTTTTTCGAAAAGTTTTTCGCGAAAAAGAAAGACAGGTTTGGAATCACCATTCAATGCTCTACAAAGTGATACAGGTGTCATGCGAAAGGCCACTTCGACTGAAAAGGCTTCCCTTGCTAGCTCGAAAACACTCTTAAGGCAACCTGATACTATAGAAGGAGTGACATGCGATCTTGCTGAAAATTCAGCTGTTATACTCCAAGTCCCTGTCTGTAGTGATTATGCTAACGCTACAAAAATATAACTCAAAAAATTGCCGCGCTGTAAAAATGACATTATACAATCCGCTGATACCTAGCAAAGTATTGAGAAATTGTGCAGCAGGCTTTGTACGGTTTACATTAGACTGTAAAGATTTTCGAAACTTCTTGAATCACAAGGTTCTTTCTCAACTGCGTGGCTCTTTCTATCCTTTCTATTTTCTCTTTCTGTTGCCTGAAAATCTTATATCTTGATTTGATTTCTCTTTATATTGTGCAGCTGGCATCCCCGATTCCACTCCGGTATGGAGCCAGTCCATCGTACTTAATTTTTCATGTAGCGAAATTCACCCTTCGTTTGATTTCGACTCGTCATGGGTTCGCTTCTACCGTCCTTACCATATCTTGATGACCAGCAAATCAAAACGAGCTTCACCGCTTATCCTACAAAGCTACGGAAAATGTGCACAGACACACAGATTTTCTGCTTTATATGTATACAAGTTCTTGTGGGATTCATTTGATTTGCGATTCATATAAAGAAAGGCAATTTGTCGCAATGACGTCATGCCATGTTCCAAATATACTTTAGTGCTTATCTTGCTGACAAAAATGCGTCTAGTGAGGCCATTTGTGTACTACTAGGAGTATACTGTATAGTTACGAAGTTTGAAGTCCGTAGAATCTTTTTTCGCAAAAATCCAACTTTCAGTTGATATTTTTTCGATTTTGGCTCACACTTTAATTCGATTACGACTTATGCGGATCTCTGGTAAAGCCATTTTGTAGAGCTTGCTTCGCTCTATCAAACCGATACCCCAAGTCAGCTAAGAAAAGAAAAACAGCTTGTTATTGGTTGTCCGAAAATTAATGTTCGTTTTAAATTTCAACCGCAGTAAGTCACACACTTCTCATTTTTGAATAGGTTGCAAAGTACCATTCAACAGAGCAAATCAAGCTCTACAAAATGGCAATCTTGTTTTTGCAGCAGCTCTCATTAACCTTTAGTTTCGAGCCAAAAACTAAAATGATTCAGCTGCACGCATACAAAAATTCTAACTTGCTTATGTAAACGCTATCCACATAAGACATCTATATACGCTGTTTCCATCTTCACCCTTTAGAAATTAAGAAAAAGGAAATTTTTGTGCTTTTCCAAAAGTGATGCTGTGCAGTCCGCACATGCGTAGTTGTATTCTACAAGCCTGTAGAAGTACAAACGTAAATTTTTAGCTTTGTACAAGCTTTGGTTCTCGAGAAATATCGAACATGGCTTTCCCTAGTCAGGTGGTCCAAGCCAAAATCTAAGTTCCTCGAGAATTAAAGCTCGTAGAAAGCCGAAAATTTACGTTTGTACTTCTACAGGCTTGTTCAATACAACTACGCATGTGCTGACTGCACAGCACCACTTTTGGAAATGCACGAAAATTTCCGTTTTCTTGATTTCCAAAAGGTGAAGAAAGATGGGAACGGCGTGTATAGATGTCTTATGTGGATGTTTACGTGAGCAAGTTAGAATTTTTGTAGGATTTTTATGAACTGAGTTACGATTTTTCTCAATTTTTCGTGCTGCTGAATCGTTTTAGTTTTTAGCTCGAAACTGAAGGTTAATGAGAGCTGCTGCAAAAACAAGATTGCCGTTTTGTAAAGCTTGCTTTGCTCTATTGAATGGTACCTTGCAACCTATTCAAAAATGAGAAGTGTGTGACTTATTGCGGTTGAAATTCACAACGGACATTGATTTCCGGACAACCTAATATTTAGAAAAGGGTTATTTTAGCGCAACCTAATGCTCCAGTGCTTGTCTCGCTGGCGCAAATGCATCTAACTTTGAGATATAAAGCCTGATAAATAAGACCTCCAGGTACAAGGTAACCTTTATTCACTCTAGTTTTTCATTACATCATTGTTGCTGGAGGCATGGAAGGTATGCTTCAAACAAACTTAATCCATGTTTCGGAAAAGCTTACTCCTTGTAAGAGATACCTCTTCACAACTGCTGAAAAACTAGCTCCTACGGCCTCAGTTCTAGCCATTACGGTTTTTGTGCTCACTCGCTTTTGCAGCGTTAAACATGTCAACAACCAAGGGGAAGTTGTTTTGTAGTTTTCATGGTACATTTCTTGCACCAAACTTACCTGCACTAAGGAATGTATGTATGAACCCACAATGTTAGAGGCTCTGCTATCCGTAGAGAACTGGTTCTGCTATCCGTACGCCTTTCTCGTGCTCGCATGATGATGACTATGAAACTCACCGCGCGATGTTGAACATCACAAATGAATTGTAAACAGCTATTCATTTTTGAAGCATGAGAAGAAAAACTTTTTTTTATAAAGGAACAAATGCGAATTTGAACGGGTTACTGAATTTATTTTAGTTTGATAATCGCCATAAAGATAATAGTTACCTTGGGCTACATTTGCATGCAAAAATCTTCTCAGTTTTTCAGGTAAAACCTTGCCAAATCGGCTATCTACGCGATCACCACTTTTTGGCGCTGTTTTTGCAGAAAAGCAAAGTTTTGATGCACTTTTTGGGCTAGAATTCACGGGCGCAAATATACTTATCAGGCAAATCATAACTTTGCAAATAGTCGCCTTAGCCACCTAGTTTCGCGAGCCAAAAGCCGCATGGACCAGTTCGACTTGAAAAATTTGAAGGACCCGCTTATCGAACTGGCTCGTCCTTGTGCATAGTGAACCTACATGCTGGTACGGTACGTTGTGCAAAGTTGTAACTCGAAAGCTTGGCTGCAGCTCCCTCTATGAATTTCGTGACACACACACAACAAACAACACACACAACACACACAACACACACAACACACACAACACACACACAACACACAACACACACAACACACACAACACACACAACACACACAACACACACAACACACAACACACACAACACACACAACACACACAACACACACAACACACACTACACACACAA